AGAAAAATGTAAAATTAGTTTCTTGACCACATGAAGTAATGGAGAAACATTGGAAACTCTTACTTGACATGATAATATCCCTTATGATCTAGAGATATGTTCTTGATCTTGATTATGGTCATTTTGGCAAATTCAAGGACACTGCCAAGAAAAATTCTAAATTTATGTCTGATCTATTGATATCTAATTTAAAAACACTAGAAGTTCATTCTTTACAAAAATAATACTAACAGCCTTAAGGTGTGAAATAATCTTGGCCCAAAGTCATTCCAGCAAGTTCAAGGTCACTTCAGAGAGATATGTAAAATTCATACAAGGTTCACAACTTTTTAATAGAGAAATACTAGAATACTGATTATCGTATATACTCGCCTATAAGTCAGTTTTTTGGGAGTTAAACTTTGGTCTAAAACTCTTTATCCGACTTATACGCAAGTTATAAAAAGATTGGTTTATTTAGCTGGTCCTTCCCTCTAATTTAAGCTTACAAAATACAACCGACTGATAGGCGGATCGACTTATAGGCGAGTATATACGGTACCAGAGTCCACAGGATGTGTCTTTTTTTAGCTAACCTGAGCCAAAGGCTCAAGTGAACTTTTCTGATCAAGATTTGTTCGTTGTTGTCATTGTTGTAAACTTTTCACATTTTCATCTTCTCCAGAACCACTGGGCCAATTTCAGCCAAACTTGGGACAGAGTATTCTTGGGTAAAGGGGATTCAAATTTGTTCAAATGAAGAGCCACACCTTCTTCCAAGGGGAGATAATCAAGAAATAGTGAAAATTGGGTGGGGGTATTTAAAAATCTCAAGAACCACAGAGCCAAAAAAGATGAAACTTATGTATAAGCTTTTGACATAATGTAGATTCAAGTTTGTTCAAATCATTACCCCTGGGGGACCACTGGGGGTAGGGAGGAGCCATAATTGGTGATCAAAGTTTAACATGAGAATAGTCGCCTGCGTGGCGCAGTGGTAGAGCGTCTGCTCTAGAGTCGCGGAGTAAGGTGTTGATCCTTACATCATGGGTTCAAATCCCACTGTGGGGCGTGGAGACCAATCATTCAGATGAGACTGTATATACCAAGGTCCTATGTCACAGTAGACGCTGGCACAAAAAAGATTCCTCACTGCTCAATGACCCTGAGTGCTGAGTATAGGTAAAAAATTTGCAGCTCTCCACCGGCAAGTGGTGGTGTCTCCATATGAGTGAAAAATTCTCGAGAGGGACGTTAAACAACAAACAAACAAGCAAAAAACATGGGAATACATAGGAGAAATTGTTAAAAAAAATCTTCTTCCCAAGAAAAGCAAATCCATGATCAGTCATATTAATGCAGAATTATCCTCAGGTAAGGCATACCAATTTGTTCAAATCATGTCCCCTGGGGGTAGGGCATCACCACAATAGAAGATCAAACATTCAGGAAAAAAATCTTCTATAGCCATGATTAAACAAAGAAACATGGAAGAATTCCCAAGTAGTGTAAATTCAAGTGTGAATAAATCATGCCCCCATTTTCTTGGGGTTGGGGGGTATTTGTGATCGATCATATTTAACCTTTTCACTAAACTGATTTCTGCTTTTTTATAGCTAATGTGCCCAGGTGAGCGATGTGGCCCATGGACTTCTTGTTTTTTAAAAATACAAGGTCATTTCTTAGGGATATGGAAAAAGGCCCTTTAAAACATTGCAGAAGGGGATATATTCTTAGGAGCTTCTCACAATTCCTCTATATCTGTGTGTAATCTTGAATCTAGTTCTTGTAAAAAAAAATGTATGCACATTGAAAGGGTCCAAAGAAATTACGTTTATCAGAGATTTAGGATGTTACAATGTAGACATGTATTGAGGGTTCATGCAGATTTTCATAAAAGTGATTATTTATTTATTCAAATGTTAATTTTTTGTATAATTATCTAATTAGATGCTTGTATTTGGTTTGTTTGAAAGTAAAAATGAAACCTTTCTAAATTTCTGAACTGTGAAGTTCTAATTGGAAAATCATAAGTATTTGATCTTAAACTTTTTGTACTAGAATCTTGACTTTTTTGCACTTGAATTTGATCTTCATATAGAATTTTGACTACATACTATATAAATTCAAATTTCCAGAAGTCAGTGTTAGATATTTGCTCACTCTTTCAATTTGCATTTTTACTTATTAATACTGTAGCCACCTGAAAATGCAAAAGTCTCGATTTAATTAGTAAAAAAAAAAAAAAAATCAATGAACCTGGTTTTCTGGTGTGGTGGCTTATCACACACACACACAAACTGTTTTTAATTTCACATACTAGATCAGAGAAAGTGGTTAGCCATTGCAATTTATTGAGATTTTGTGGATTTAATTAAGGAAAAAAAATATATACTGGATAAAAATATATTATGAAGATGAGATGCAGTGAAGCAATATTGGAATTTAATAAAGTGTTTTTGACTCTGTGATATTTTTTTTTCAATAAACATATGAAAATAATTGTCCAATGCTGAAGTTCAGGGACTAGAAAATTTAAAAATTGGAAAAAAATTCCCATTTTAGGTAAAAAATATAACCAAAAATTTTGAGAGTCCAAAGACAGATTTTTGATATAATGTAATCAGACATGTTGTCTAATAGATGGTATGAGATTGAGTTAATTCTAAGTGTCACTTTCTAAGTTATAGGTTTTTGAAAAGTGTAAATTTTTACCAGTTTTCCAAAATCTGGAAATATGCCAGATTTGTGACCTATTTGCACTTAAACGGAGGCACAGTTTGTGATTATAAAAAAATTACTGAAACAGGTGTACCTTGTTACTTTTAACCATGTATGGATATTTTATATCATTATTAAACTAAATGCTGAATTTTGAAATATATTATCCTAAAATACAATTCTATTTTTAGTAACAGTGTTGCATAACCTCACTAAGTGAGACCACACTGAAAAAAAATATTTCATATTCTAGAAGAAATTTACATACAAAATATGAAGTTGATCAGAGAACCTTGCTCCCACCACCTTTTGCATGGTTTTCTCGTAGACATGCTCTTAAAGGTGAGATAGGGTGCTTTGTGCAACATTAAAACCTCTTGCAATTGTAGACTGTGGTACACTTGTTTCCAGTCGCCCAACTTCCTTTCTGCGTTAAGCATCATTCAGATGTAGTATTTTTAAATAGCGTGAATTTTCAAAAATACCAGAATAAAAAAAATCGAAAACCCCAGCTTTTGATAGACCTTTTGCACCTGATTGATGTGGATCAGAACCCCCCCCCCCCCCCCCAAAAAAAGTGAGGAAGGTAATTTTAATATTCTGCAAGATCAGGTCTTCTTGCCTGTTGCTTTATAAAATGCCTGTCTGGTTAACAACAGTGTTAAAAAGTAACGAATTTTACTCTAATGAATCATATCCATAAAAAAATGTAATACATACCTATTTCATATTTTCCTATTAAGCGTTTTTTTTAAAGTATACTAGTTTATATATATATATATATATATATATATATATATATATATATATATATATATATATATATATATATATATATATATATATATATATATTATTAGAGATGGCAATCGATTACAGAATTGCTAATCGGTTAACCGCAAGACGTTCCGACTGATTAACCGGTTAATCGTATCAAAATGCACTTTTTCTTGATAATTGTTTTTCAAGTAGCTCTGTCCATATACACAAATAGACCCAAATAAGACGATTGAAGTTTAAACATTCCATTAGTCTTGATTCTGGATCAGAAAACTACGGGTACATATTTTTTTTTTATTTAAATTTCAGTACACAAGAAAACATTGAAGAAAAAAAAAACATGAAAAAGCCTAAGAAATTTTTGATAATTTTCCAGAGCAGATGTCACAAAAGTTCTTTCTGCATTTTCACTATGATATGATAATCAAAACTACATGTGAACTCTACAGCCCTTAATTTACAAGGTTTGTTTAATAATTACACGTAAATAGGAATGAAAACTGAAAACGACATACACACCAATTCACAGTGCTCAATGATTCAATTATTATCATTAAAGAATTACAGGTCAGTCGGGGTAACGACATGGTGTTTTCACAGAAATTAACACTACATGAACTGATCACCAAATACGCAACGGTTTCATAATTACATGTATGTCCGAATTAGAACGGTTAAATTCTAAATAATCATCCTTTGTGTAGAAATTTCTAAAATAAATTTTTAATATTTTTTTATATATATATATATATATATATATATATATATATATATATATATATATATATATATATATATATATATATATATATATATATATATTGTTTTTGTATACAAAACCAGTCTGTATGAAATGTCACCGAATTAATTAACAGGTATGAGTATCTGCATATGAGTATATATGAGTATCATGCAGTCAATACCAGTATATCGGGTCTTAATAGTTCAGTGGTTATGTAGAGCACTGGCACGGTAGGCCAGATGAGGGCAACCAACCATATATTAGTTTAAACAAGAGGCCACAACATTCACCTGAGTAACTATTACCCTTCTTGTTTATCAGCAGATTCTTTTCCCTGTATATTCCAATGTAAAACTTGCACACCCGTTGTAGCCCCACCCTATCCCTGGGGGTCATGATTTGAACAAATTTGAATCTACAATATGTCTGAAAGCTTTCACATAATTTTCATTACTGACTCAGTGTTTCTTGAGAAGATGATTTTTAAATGCCCCCCTTTTGCTTTACTTTTTTCTTAATTATCTCCCCCTGAAAGAGGACGTGGCCCTTCATTTGAATAAATTTGAATCCCCTTTACTAAAGGATACTCTGTGCCAAGTTTGGTTGAAATTGGCTCAGTGGTTCCGGAGAAGAGTTTACAACGACAGATAACGGACAAAAATGATCAGAAAATCTCACTTGAGCCTTCGTCTCAGGTGTGCTAAAAGGTCATCAGACATAATTATTGAGGGGCACAACCGTAGAAAAGCATGTTTTCTATTACCGGTATATACATGTAGTTGCCGGCAAAATTATTGGGGTGGAGGGAACACGGTTCCCCCTCCCTTACCCCCGGGTTCCTATGGGCCTGAAATAAATGGTTTTCCATATTTTGTTTGAATCAGTATCGAAGGAATATACATCAATAGCTCTGTCAGTATAATGCATGTTCAGTAAGTTTAGAAAGTTTACTTCCTGCTTGCATAACTCATCACTTGCAGATTTGTACAGGGGTATGAAGAATATATAATGGACAGATCACCCTGTAATTATTCAGCTAATGTACACAAATATAGGGAGGAGATAGAACAATGAAAGTTATATGATTACAGCAGAAAATCACATTTAGTTGAGTACACTGTCTCTGGATTCTGGGGGTCTGTGGCGTGAACCTCGAACTCTGTTCCTCCAAACTTCATAGATATCTTTATTTTCGCGCCTTTTTGCCATCCACTCGCTGGAGGTTTGATAATGATTCTACCAAGCATCTCGCAGTGTTCGTCTGTCGTAAACAGGGGATTTTTATCGGGGGTCGCATATATTTGTAGAGACACTGGAGCGTGTGGCTTTGGTACGTCGTATGATTCGTCAACACTTTTATTGACATCAACACTTTGACCAGCCTGAATGAACATACTGAAGACATCCTTACATAGAACCTCGTTTTCATGCTCCACTCTTTTTTCCAATGGGTGTTTATTTTCATCGAAATTGTCGTACACAGCAACTCCATACGTATATTTGCAAACGCGCGAAGAGATAGTCAACGGGGCATGTCCACATAACACAGCTCCCTTCACAACGGCTAAACCAGGCTCCGGTGGAACTACAACGCGAAGCTCGGGAAACGCCTGTTTCACTGCATCCACTATTATATTGGATGTGGAGAATCCACCAACCATCAGAATGGCAGATATTCTGTTTTCATTTTCTTGATTTTCCAGAATGTTTCGAACATGTGTTACGATTTGTTCCCTAGGATCATCAAAAAGCGTTTCCATTAATTCTCTAGCGATTGCAAGTTTGTTCCCTGGTTTTATTTTTATTTTGTCAGCAAACTCCGAGTTTGCCACGATATCTTGCAAGCTCATGCCTTTTAGTTCTCTTACATATTCAGAAAGCAGTGCTGGGACAGAGATGATAACGGGTCGAGTGTTTTGTCCCAATTTATCTCGAATATGTCTCTTTTTCATTTCAAAATCCCTCTGAAACTCTAACATATCCGTTCGTCTTTCTGTTTTAAACTTCATAAGAACATCCTCACCAAAGATAGATTTAAGCATGTTGTAGTATGCCTTATCCACATTCGTCCCTCCCCATGCACCCCCACTGGCTACGTTGATTTCCCGTAGGGAATTCTCATCTACAACTTCATGAACTGTGACGTCACCGGTTCCACCTGAAAATGTATAATGTACATATGAATTCGAATTTAATACCTTATCAAATTCATTGGCGTGTATGTTTTCTCTTATTAACAGATTGTTTTTTTACATACCACCAAGATCAAGAATCATGTACCGAGTCCCGATGCTAAATGGAACTATTTTCATATTCTGTCCGTCTTCATCAGACTGCTTCTCCGCTGGAACATATTTACAGAACAAAGAGGCTGCTTCAGGTTCAAGGGCCAACTGCAGATTATCTGAGGGTATTCCCGCCTGAATCACAAAATCACAAAACGTTATCTCTTTCTTTCTTGTAAAAATTAATTTGAAATGGCAAATAAAATTTAATTGTCAGTCACTTGCCTCCACTGCAGCTTCTCTCATGAATTGTTTGGCGGGTTCATTCCATATTGCAGGAACTGTGAGGACCCACTGGATGTCTTTGTGTTCTAAGTTTAGTGCACGTTCTTCAATAGTTTTGAAGAAATGCTTTTTCAGGTAGTCAATGGAATGTCTGAACACTGTACGAGCTGGAAATCCACGACCACCTGAATCTTCTATAATGACATCACGGTTCATTATCTTTAAATATAGATAAAGAGATGACATTAAACTTGAACTCATTATACATGCATCAAAAACGATGAAACGTATGCAGTTATCAACTTGGTAATATAAAAATGCGAGTTTTCATTTTTTATGCTTTGATATTTGCACAATTAAACTTTGGATATGAAATATGATAAAATGACGTTTCATGCTCTGCACCATTTTTGTACCATTTTGTTGTGAAGCATCATTTTGAATCGGCGGAAGTAATGGAAGTCATGATGTTCTTCGTTTTCTATCAGCTCCTGGTACACCTCCTCAGCCTCGTAACCAAAAGAGTTGAAACTGTCGTCTGGATTCAGAAGCAAGGTGGTTGGTGTTTTCCAAGACATTAGGCCATTTCCACCCTCTGCAACCCAAGACGTGTTTGCAAAAATACTTCCAATCCTGTCTGATTCGTAGTCATGTCTAAATTGAAAGGCGTATCCAGAATAGGTTGTTCCGAAGTCAATGGCCATGACCAAGAGGGAATCGGTCTTTGACACTCGACCTGTTGACAGAAAACAATAAACAATTAATTAATGTGGTCGAAATGTATTAATTTAAATTCTCTCTTACTCGTTTGTCAGCTTATTAATTTGTACATATTAACTTCTTTGAAGATGAAAATTTCTATTAGATTGTTTAGTGACTTACGAAGGTGGTAAAACCACGAGGTAGCCTCTGTATTTAAAAGGGGAGCAAAAGTACAATAATATATTGTATTTTCTATCCAACCTACATTTTTTTTAAAGTGTCACTCATTAAGTACGGCACTAGTTTTTAATAATCAGATCTGTGCTGACAACATGAAAATGATGAATGAAATAACACGAATTACACTGTAACATCTACGATTTTGATTATTTTTTCCCAAATTCTAAATACTTTTCTAAATATGCAAGAGGGAACATGTATACATGTAGTCTGTAAGGTCTATCTAGTTGATTCGAGAAATGAGATGGGTAAACAAGGTGCGCAGAATGCCTATAGCTTCAGATATATATAAGAAATCATGATAAACAAAACTTTTTTGAGGAAATTTTTCTCGGCAAAAATTATTTTGTTATTGAAAAAATAATGTCACCGTGGTATTCTTGGGGTTCGAACCCTAGCAATAAAAATCCTGAGTATCATTTTCCTTTGAGACTAACACGCTACCCACTACGTTAAAACAGCTCCTGATGAATAGTGGCATTTAAATCATGTTTGTGATATGGCCCTTGACTAAATGAACTTCTATTTCTCGGAAAAATGCAAATGCTGTGTCATGAAAGTGTATTTTCAAGGTATAGTGGGTCATTGCTCAATGTTTTTGTTAACGGAAAAATGTATATTTTTACGCAAACTTTGGGGGTAAACTTTCAAAAATATGGAGCAAAGACCCACTCGTATCGAAAAAATGTGTTAAAGTATGAGAAAATTATCCTTTTTGCCCTCTTTAGTATGCTATTTCATAGGCAAATAATTTCAACCTTCAGGCCCGTAGGAAGCATATTCAGTTTGGGGGGGGGGGGGGCACAGCCATACATTTTCAGACGGTTCCTGCGGCCATGATCTTTGCGAGATTTTTGCAAATTTAGGATATTTTACATAAAGTATGCCTTGAGTTTAGATGAAATATCAAAGAAAATTTTGTTATTATGAGATTTAATTTTTCATCTTCATGTTTGTCGCACTATAGGCACTTCGCTCGCCTTTTTTTGCCCATCTTCTTTAATTTTCATGTTTACCTTAAATGGTCAGAAAACTAATCATGAAGTATTAATTAATATTAGACGCTTTGGTTAAATTGTTCATTCGGAAACTTGGTCCAATTAAACAATACTTCCTCGGTTACTACTCAACTTAATAGTGTTAAACAGGGATGTTAATTTTTTAAAACGAAAGTACTAGACACGATTAAATGATTTATTGTGATACGCCATCAAATAAGCAGATATGAGCTTAAATGACTATGTTGTTAAACAAACCTTGTGACATATTGCAATGAGAATGGTGATGCAAGGAAACACTCAACTAACAGCACCTCGATAGTAATGCCACGGTTTCCTTTTTATTGAACGAACAACATGGCACTATAAATTCCAGGTCAGGCGTTCCACCTTGGTAATATTTAAAAAATGTAAATATAGCATTCTTACTGCCAAACCGAAAGCAGATTTTTAAGAATCGATGTTAGATGTCATGAACTACAGATGTCCATGCATATAATGGTAGGTGATACATCACCAGGTACTAGTATATATTTCTATTGTGTTTGTATCCGTCTCTGCTGGAAGTTTATATATGTATATATATACAGGGACTATCGGATGGATAAAATGGGGAGTGGTGTCAGTCAAAATGGGAGTTCTCCGAGTCAACCTAAAGGCACTTCTGATGGACCCCGTCCGCCCAGAGACCCTTACCAACAACTCAACAACGTCTTGAGTGAGTACAAAGACGGCAAGAAATCATTATCCGTGGACGATGTCAAAGCTTTGCAGGAATTTATCCAACATCACCAAAAGGTATACAATTGTCATAATTCACAATAAGGAAAAGTGAATTTTATTTATCGGAGAAAAAAAAACCCAGTCGTGTTAAAACTATAGTGAATATACCTGATATTATACTTAACTCTGTAGGATGGAAGTTCACAGTCAACCCACGGACTGATAACAATGAAACAGCAGCTCTCAAGTTTTGAAAAACAACGCCAAGATATTTTGAATAAGTAAAGTATTTATGCAGCAGTTTCTGAATGTTAAGGTCTGACGACACATTGCTTTGTATCTCTTAATAAAAATAATAATAACAATAATAATAATATATAATAATATACCTAGTTAGTAATCCTGCGATTTACTACCATTGTTTTCAAAATGTCTAAAAATGTATATATACGCCGAAGGATTGATAATAGGATAATATGTAGGAAATACCATCCTCTGGAATCTTGCACAAATGCTTGATATAATGTACCTAAAAAATATTTTGGCCAGGAAACTTGTTAAAGTATATATAGCAATACTTCCATCAATAACAATTTTTGGGAAACATTATAGTATTGAGAAACGTGTCGTCTGACCTTAGAAATTATAAATTGAGATAGTGAAAGGAATCTGTGTATATTTGAGAGCAAATGTCGTGTTTGTAAACAAACTTTTTAAATTGTGCGGACCACAAGAAGTCTACAATTTCAGATATGAAAATTTTAATGTCCATTTCAAAAACCAAAACGTGTCTTCTTACCTCCATCTAACATCCGCCTTTTTCAGGATATCGGAAGTAGCAGGTGCCCGTTTAAAATCAAACAATCCTGCCATAGCAGATCTTAGCGACCAGAATCGACCTAGTAAGTTGGCAGAGAAGTTCTCTGAATTGTACGACAACGAATGGACGGATGCGGCAGAGGAATTGAAGCAAACGATAAAATTCCCAAAGGAAACGTCGGAAGAAGAAATGGACATCGTTGTCATCAAGTTTCTATATAATTTTGCTAAGGTGTCGCTATCTTCTTCCATATACTGTAGGAAATTGGTCTTTCAACTCTGCAATTAATTGTCTGAGAATTCGAATTACAAATTAATACGATTTTTTTCATGGTTAAATCCATTGAGATTATGTAAATACTATCTTATGTAGTGTGTTTTATTAAATGTTCTTCGTTCTCCCTTTAACCAAAGGTAACGTATGAAGAATGCAAGAAAAAGGCAGCGGAGCAGTTAAAACACGTCAAGGATGCGGTCTCCTTTCACAACGAAAATGTTGGAGTAAGTGTATAAATAAACAAGAGATAGTCCAGGAAATTCAAGTAATATGATAAAAAGCAGGTTAATTCTCCAACAAGCCTGCATTATTAAAATTATTGGAGATCATCTATTCATTTTTTGTTAAGGAAATGGCAATCGAATTGGACAGAAAATGCCGAGATTTTATCAGGAGACATTGCGAAATCACTCTAAGTCAAGCTTTAAAGGTAATGTAAGACCATATTATGATACCAAAAAATGGATGCCTGAATATATATATATATATATATATATATATATATATATATATATATATATATATATATATATATATATATATATATATATATATATATATATATTACCTTTTTTGGTTGTAAACAATGCAAATATTTAATTCATAAAATATTAAGAAATTGTAAACTTTTTATGATGTTCAAAATTCTACTTTTCTCCAACCACCCATATTAATCTATACAAACTTTTTCATTTGTTATTTATATAAACATGATTTTGGTTGTTATTTTTATGATATTTTATAAAAGTTTGTATCCTCTGTCCTTTAAATGGACAAATTAATTTTAGTACATTTTGATATTGAACAGATTTGTTGTTCAGGGATAAAAAGAACAAATTAACAATCCTATATTTCTACATATTATCTTTAGATCCTTCCATATAAAGTCATTAAAGATCAGACAACGGCTGAAGAAGAATTAGGAATTGCTGTGAACCAACTGGAGAACTGTAAACATGCCAATGACTTTTTTAAACTTTGTACACGCCTCTGCTGGATGATGGCACTTCAGGATCCGCCTGTGTATATGGTTACTAGCACCGATTCCATGGAGATGTACAGGGCATACACAAGATCTGGTGACCTCATTGAATATGTTGTTTGGCCTAGCCTATTGTTGCATGAAGATGGACCCCTACTTTACAAAGGAGTTGCTCAATTCAAGAAAAGAGATGGGAAAAAAGAAAAGGAAAATAGCGAGGTCAAGTCTGTTGTAGACAACGATAAAACAGTGCATGCAGAAGATCCAATTTATGCAAATGTTGATAACTCAGACAACAACAAGGACAGTATAAAGAATGGCACAGTAAAAACTCAAACAAAAACGAAGCCGGGGGATAATTCGTCTGGAGGCCCTCATGTAACCAAAATTGATGTAAAATGATATACATGTACTATTGACTCTTGTATGATTAGATTAAAAATTCAGTGTATTGTCATGCTGATAAATGTATATCTTTTGTATCTCTAGTTAGAAACTATGTCAATTATAATATAAATTATATAAAAATATATTATATATAAATTATATTGAAATATATAATGATATAAATTAAATCAATATATGGGGCACAAGCTGATTTATATATAATTATATATGTATGTCTTTCTTATCATTAAAAATGTTTCTGTATCTCAAACTTAAGAGAAATACTAGTAGATAAATACTTACATTGTACTTATTTCTTAAAAAAATAATTCTTGTCAATCCCATTAAGATAGTTCACTGCATGACAATTTGAATATGTTAATGTAGAAATTTTGAATTGTATTTATTCACTCATCAGCTTTATAGTAACTAGGGCTGGGACGATACAACTTTTTTCTATATCAATTACGTATTACGATATTTGAGCCACGATACGATATGTATCACGATATGTTGAATTGGTTATAAAATGTGTTTTTGTATTGAAATGAACGAAACATCTCTTCACAAAATAAGAAAAATTAATTCAAAGAAGTTATAAATCTGTTGCAAAACAATGTCATTTTACTTAAGTGGTATTAATTATTATGTATTTCGTATTTATATTTATATATAGCATATTTATTTTGTATATTTCACCCAAAATGTTAAGTAAACAAAGATTTGTAAGAAATTATTTTGCGATATTTCGATATTTCTTCATACGTATCGATATGCGTATCATCCTAACATTGAATCGATATCTCGATATATCGTCTCAGCCCTAATAGTAACCTTCCTAATGGCAGTTTTTATGTTGTCTACCCTTCAACAATTGGTGAAGTTATTTTTATATCCTCACACACGTTTTTGGTATGCATTGTGATTCAATCAACATTGAATTACGAATGGTTTAATTTTTTTAACTTATAAACTAGTATAAATAAGTTTCAAAACTTACAATTGTTTACACTTGAATTTTATTTTATGTTATTAATATGTATTTCTAAAAATTTAGCAGTATTTTTTACCAAAGTATATCAATCATTAAAATTATACAAGCTCATCTTGTTCAGTGTTTTTAATTAATGGTAAAGGAATTACTCATACCCCCCCCCCCCCCCCCCCTCTCTCATACATTACATTTTCATACATTACATACACCAAAGAGAGCAAAAATGATCAATTCTTCATACTAAAACACAATTTTTCCATGTTAGTGGGTTTTTACTCCATTTTTTTTTTGAAAGATTATCTTCAAAGTATGCGCAAAAATATACATTCCTCGGTTATCACAAACTTATAATTTCCAAGAAATAGTCCATTTAGTCGAGGGTCATATTACAAACATGAATTAAGGATACATAACACAAAGAAAAATTTGATGCCTGGATTGATCCATATTTTTTGACTGATTTTGAATAGAAATGACATAAATTATAAATCCCTAAAATATAAAGAAATCGTAAGTATTCTTTGGTGCTTAAATACTATAGTATGCGACTTTGTTTTGTTTGCTATATAATTCTATACAAAATTTTGCATATATTTTTAACATTGCGAAAAAATCTAACAAAATTCTCCCACTTTACTTGGTAAACATTATTCAGGTTACTTACTTGAATATAAATCTATGAGAAATATTGCCGATTTCTGAACAAGGTTTGTTTGTGTTATTTATCCTTAAATGTCGATATTTGTTATGAGCGGTATATAGCGTAGTGGTATACAGCTTAGTCTCGATTGAAAAATTAATGACCTCAGGATTTTGATTGCTTGGGTTTGAACCCCAAGAATATCGGGGGGGGGGGGGGGGGTTATTCATAGAATGATTTTTGCCATAAAATTTTTTGTTTTGTTTCTTTTCTTTAAATGATAAAAACTTTACTATAAATATTAAATTCAAAAATGCTTTTATGAATTTAAAGCTGTAGACATTTTGCACGCCTTGTTTGACCATCTCTTTTCCGCAAGGAACCCCCCCCCCCCCCCCCAATTTGACTAGATTAAGGAAAAAATCTTTAAGATGATGTCCCCTAAAATATCAAATATTGAAGACGTGAAATACAGGTCTGTTATGTATAATTCATCAACACTAAAGCATGAAAGCATAGATTAAATAAATATACATTGTACATGCTAGAACCTCTTCCATATTTTATCCAGTAATTGGGAACTTATCGTTATCTTATTCAATGACATCAAAATTCCGACAGGGGTCACAATCATAGTCATATGCCTGTCTTCATTTTGAATATATGAATTTACAGGATGGGAGCAAACTATAAAAATTTAGAACATAGCAACTTGGTGCGCATATTCGATTTAATTTCATTTTGGTCTCACCAGAAAATTACTGTTAAAGCCCCCCTTTTTCATAGGGAAAAAACCCACGAAATTTTTTAAAACTTTTTTTTCCCAAGGAGGAACAAAATTTTCTAAAAGCGTAATCACAGCATGTCTAATGAAACTTTTTTTTTTATCCATCAAACTGAAATTACAATGCATAAATAATAATTGACAACATTTTGCTTTTAGTTTAATTATAATCAACATTTGTTCATTCAACTTCTAATTAAAATTTCAAAAGTTCCATTCATTTTGAAAATGAAGATAAATTTGCGTTTTTGTTCAATGACAATCTTTCAAATTCTGTAATCCCATTACCGTCGGGATCGACAAATACGAGTTTCTTTGGCGGAAAATTCAAAATTTCGGGAAAATAAAGTCGCGCAAAAAAGAGATAATATTTCGTGTGGCATCAATTTTTTATTACATAATTATGTAAATTATATGCAAATAGAGTTCATGACGTCATGCATAAATTATGCAAATTAGGGTCAAGGTAGGGTCAGTCACGTGACCCGATACGTCATTTCAGCCGTCCGCCATAGTGGAAAAATGGATTGAGTAAAACAGTGAGTTGGCGGATCTTTGGATATAAACATCAGCTGTAAGTGAAATCTATCTTTCTTAATATTCCATTCCAGACTTGATCAATATTTCTTTAGAACCACCGGGAAGCAGCCGTTTTTGCTGATAACATGCGGAATCCCGTATTTAGCGCCATTTTGTGAATCTGTACAAGTGATCCCCCGTTTAGCTAATCTGAAATAAATCATACATGTCCGAAAAGATGTGCTCATTTATGTAGTTCTTTTTTATTTGAGTTTTTCATTCAACTCTATTTCACATTGTTCAAAGTTTTTACGTGGTGCAGGTGTTGTCAAAACCGGCATGAAGAGTGACGTCCCTTGTGCATTATTTACAAGATGTAATAGGATAAATATTAAACATTGTCACGATTTAAACGTTTAATGAACATATAATACGTATATAAATGATGATAATGTTAGTTTTTTTATTTTGATATTCAAAATCAATAATAGAACAACAAAAAATAACAAATAGAAGTTTTAAGACATTAGTTTTAAAAACAATCAATCTGACTAAAGCCATACCTCTATTCTGTGAGATAGCGTAAATAGAGGTCTGGCTTTAGTCAGACTGAAAAACATTAAAGCTGTCACACAGTATAAATTACACTGTTTGAATCTTACATCATAAAATTGTCTCTTGCAGATGTCTTCGAGAAGGTAACATACATTTTTGTTGTTAATATTTATCAAATTCTGAAGAAAAAAAAAGTTTTGAATATATTAAGTCTACAATCAAAAAAAAAAATAAAATAAAAATCCTGATAATTCAAATTAAGAGCATTCTTAAATGTTTAAATTGAGAAGACAAAATCCAACTTTCGGATATCAGTTAATGCAATATTTTCTGACTGTGAGATGCCAGATGGGAATGTTCTTTTTTTCATTTCAGGAAACCAACAAATACAAAAAGAGCAGATTCTGAGGAAAAGGCAGAAACTAATGGTACAGCGGATTCTGATGGCGAGCTGGATTACTTGCCAGAAGGTCAGACGTCATGATCTTGTGCTTTGAATGTTTATCTCACTATCATTTCATTGTATTGACAGGGTTGGAAATTATAGCCCGCCCGAGTGCCCGAGATGGTCTGTTTCTCAGGTGGGCGGGGACGAAACTTCAGATGACAGCCCGGTGGTCGGGCTAATTTTAATAGCCAGTTCCTAGTTTTAAACTGAGAATTTTTATTTTTAAGTTGTTTACTTATTAATAAATAAAATATAGCCACATTTGGCCAACATTGGCTGATTCCGTCACCATTATCAAACCTCGGCTGTATAAGGAAACTTGATATTTGTCTCCGCCTAACATTTGTGATAAGGCTGTAAGCCTGTTTACCGCTTACGGAAAACATAACTCTTTTAAAATGAAAATAAACAAGCATCAGACATACGATAAAAAATTTCAAAAGCAGTTAGGTAACACTTAGAATAACATTTACCAAGAAACATGCACTTAGTATCTTTAGATAGTCACATTGTGTTAATGGATCAGGTTCAGCACATTGTGCACGTGTAATTATAGGGTGCAGCCATATTGCCTATAAATATCTCCAGTTCAATGATGGTTTACATGATACAGCCGAGGTTAGATGAGGTATGAATCGGCCGAGGTGTTCCGAGTGATATAGCCAGTTCCTATTTTTAAACCGAGAATTTCTATTTTTTAGTTGTTTACCTCATTCACAAAAAAATCTACAGACTGGATTTCGTTGTGAACTTGGTAAATATTAGGCTTTATTAATAGTACATTCATAATAATGAACATTTTTATCAGGATTGGCAGATTGTGAGCAGGGCTGGTAACTTTTAAACATAGCCAGCCCTGTGTCTGCTATTTACAGTGAATTTCCAACCCTGGTATTGACCAGTTATGTAAGCATTGAATTATTATTTTTTGAATGATGTAGTGTCATAATGGCAACAATGTGTCCAAACAAATCGGAGTAAGGCATGTTAGTGCATTATGAAAATTTATTTGAACACACCCTTGCAGGTATGAGACTACATCTTTCAAAATGATAATTCAGTGCTTGTATTTACATTTTTTTTAACTCCCTGCCTTGTCTGCATTTTTGCTTTCTATTTCAAAATCCTGGTATTATCCTTTGGGTAAGTTATAATTATGGAAGAGTCATTGCAGCAGTTACTACCATTCAAGAAAAGAGTATACACAGTGAAAAATTTTGATTACCCAAATTTGATTTTTTTTTTTGAAAAGCTGATAGTAATTACTAAGTTTATTTATTAACAAATGATACAATGTGACTAGTAAGCAAACAATTTATATGTAAAAACTAAGTAATCTTATATTCATTTGCCAGACAGACCCTAGTGGTTGGGTTTTGTGTGAAAAGTGTATATATAACTTATTAAACTGTCTAATACATATCATTAGGTGAAACAAAAATAAATGTAAATATATTAAGTTAAGGACATATGCAATGTACCTTTCCTACTGATAATTTTTCAGGATATTCTTAATTTAAGATTATAGTGCCATCAGATTTTTGTAGACAAAAAATCAGCATGCATTACCAGGGGTTTTGAAAAGATTGATGAAAATTTTTGTATATAAATTCAAAGAAAAATATACAAAAATTACTAAACGTATATTGTAAATGCTTGTTTATCCAAACTTGTTTTAGAAGAAGTGTATAGACATTAAAATGTAGCACAAAGTTCCTTTAAATATTGGAACTCATCAACTCCAGGGAAAAAGTCAATAAAGTTCAAACTACGTTGCCTATTTCCTTAAATACCTTAAATGTCTTTTTATGCTTATAACTATTTAACGTAATATTATGGTTAAAGCATTACATATAGTCAGAGGTCATTGTTTATTCTCACAAAGAATTTGATTTGATATACTTTGTGTTTTATAGTGGTTGTATAGAAGATAGGGAAAGAATAAGATTACTTTGAAATAAAAGAAAGCTGGAAAAACATACATTTTTTAGGAACTGTTGTTGTCAAACCTGAACCTGTTGGGAAAAGAGGAACATTTTCTGGACCTGAATTTCGTTCAAAGAAGAAAGAAAAGAAAGAGCCAAGTACAGGTTATCACCATCAAATTGTCTATATTTGTGATTCAGAAAAGATAATTTTCTCTGCAGGATAGTTTTTTTTTTTTACTTTCATCAAGGTACATCTATAAAGATTAAAATTTGTCAGCAGCTATTAAATCCATCATTTCTAATCTTGATAGGATTATCATGATTTGTGTATAGTATATGTAATTCTGAGAAATATATGCAAAATCTTGCAATATGAAATTCATTCCACAGATTTCAATTCCGCAAGTGCCAACTTAGGTAGAGTATCGTGTACAGCCTGTGGAGAGCAGGTCAACACCAATAAATCTGGTAGTGTCAGGAAGCACCCTCAGCTTAAGGTCCTAGTTTGTAAGGTACAGAAATTACAATGTACTTGTCTTTATACTGCCAATGTTGCTTAATGGCCAAGTGAAATATTCAAGTGTAATCATACTAAAAAATTAAAATAAAATGTTAATTCTAATTGTTCAGATCAAGTTAATGTAAGGTATAACTGACATTGTTCTTACATTTCATAATAACAAAAGTTATCAAATGATGAAACTTTGTCGACTTTGAGATAAAAGTGTTTCAACATTATTTTGTAGTTGGTATATTAATATATAGAGCAATTCAGTTTAGGTACACAAAGAAATTTAGTATACTTTCATGTTAAATACTAAAATCTGATTGGTTTAGACGCATTTAACAATCCATAATGTTACCCTCAGCATTAGCAACACACTTGACAACGGGTAACATTACGAAAATGTCACATGCGTTCAAATCATGCGCGTACGGTTCACCGTAGAATTCTCAAAACGTCAGTTGTGCGTTTGAAAGAAGCCGAATAGACGATGTCAATAAAAGCTTGCGTCCGATGTAGCTTACTTGAAAACAACAAACGACAGACGAAACATCCTTGCGAGTGCAAACTTTAGATGATAAAGGACTTTTTGAGTAGCAAACAAACAATAAAGAGGTTGGTAAATCTTTTCCGAAGCTTTCTTATTGAGAAAAATAGAAGCGGGGAGTTTGAAAGCTTTCTAAGCGTGAACTTAACGATGATCTCCGAATTTTTTTTATGACATCCGAAATCAATAAGACATTCAGTATAATAAAATAAATAGTGCACGTTTTTGAGGGTAACAGTTGAAATTGACTCCCCAAGGAAAACCATTGTCAACCTCCGCTGACGTGTCGGTTGACAATGGTTTTCCTTGGGGTGTCAATTTCAACTGTTACCCTCAAAAACGTGCACTATTTATATAATACTTACTGTGATGATATATAAATTTATCAATGTCCAGAGTTGCTACAAGTACCATACAAGTGGTCCAATATCTCGGGACAAGGATGGATTGGATGAACAGTGTAGATGGTGCAGTGAAGGAGGGAATCTGTTTGGCTGTGATTTCTGTCACAATGCATTTTGCAAGGCTTGCATCATTAGGAATTTGGGAAGATCTGAAATCAGCAATGTTACGGAAGAAGGTAGTATTAGAGTGTTTCACTTTAAAGGAAATTTTGCACGTAATTTAGTATTAGTATTTGAAATAATTTTAGTATTTCAAACTATTTAATGCTGTAAACCAAAGAAGAAAATTAGTTATTTAAATGTAATGATTATGTTCAAAGGTAAAGACTGGAAATGTTATGTGTGTGATAACACTAAACTGAAACCTTTGCTGGCGGAATGTCAGAAAGTCTTGAACTACATGGAGGCAGAGGATAAAAAAGCAAAGGAGAAAATGAAACAGGCCACCACCCCAAAATCTAATGATGCCAAAAAGTCCAGCGATTCCACCATCAAATCAAATGACACTAGGAAATCCAATGATTCTAAGAAGGAGGCTACAGAATCCAATTCAGAAAACAAAGCTAGCAAACCCACAGATAACAAGCAGTTGATGAAGGTTTTAACTTCTGGGAATGCACCCAACCGATCCTCATCTCCTAGTGAATTCCAGAAAGCCATCCTTACACAACCACATGCTGGCACTACAATCAATACAGAGAAAATTGTAGTAGATCCTATGACTGGTAGGTCAACAAAGTTTGAGATGGTGTATCCCAATGCTAATATTGTACAGACTCAGTATAAGTCTTATGCTCGTCCTGTGCAACCCAAGCCATCCAGCCTTCCCACTGATGGTGTGTCTCTGCCATTCACTGGACTTTTGCCTGGAAATGTTCATAGTATCATATCCAATTTGCTTTCAATGACAGACAATCTTCAACAACTCCTAAGAAATATACAGGAGAATGTTATTGAAGAGTCCAATGTAGACAAGTTACCATTTGAAATTTCTCTCAGAACACTGAATCAAAAGCAAATAGAGGCTAGGCTTACAGCTGGAAATTGTGTGAAAAGTGGTGTGAACTTATTCTTGCAAGAAATGGCAATGAAGACTTCTGCTGCAGGAGTAAAAGCAATGACTCTAAGTCAGAAAGCACCTCGACCTACACTTGCATCTGCCTTGTTAGCAGGAAGTCCTCTGGACAGAAATGGTGGTGCTATGAATGTAGATACTCCTCACAAATTTGATAAACCAGGGGGAGAAAATTCTCCCTTAGTCACCAGTACGCCTAAGCCTAAACCCTCAGATGATGATTTCGATGTCATTGTGCTCAGTCCTTCTCCCAAGAAAGCAGTTACTCAAAAATCTGAGAATGCAGACGCTTGTTCTACTTTGCAGGATAATGATGATGTTACAATGGTAAGTGAAAATGATAGAGCTGAAAAAGAACTATTGAAAGATGCTGCCGAGGAGATAGGAGATGAGGAGAATGACTCTGATAATGAAATTGAAAATGATGAATCCAGTGTAAAGGAAGGAAGAAAAAGAAAAGATGACAAAGATGGTGAGAGTGTAAACTCAGAAAATGAAGATGGAGAATCTAGTGAAAAGAAAGGAAAGAAAAAGACAAAAAAATTAGTTATAAAATTAGGGAATACATCTAAATCTAGTGACAAAAAAGGCAAGAATGACAACTCTGGTCAAGAAAAAGATGACAAAGAAAAAGTATCCTCTACCACAAAGGATGATGATGAAGAAGATAGTTCAAATTCATCCAGGAAAACCAGAAGCAAGAAAAAAGATGAAACAGACTCAGAGGAAAAAGAGTGCAAGCCAATCAGAAAAACACGGAGTAAGTCACAAAATTCGGAGAGTGATTCTGACTCCAGCCAGTCTAGAGGAAAAATGTCACCTAAAAAGAAGGAAAATAATGATAAATCCAAAAGTAGTGAGGATAAGAAAAGTAAGAAAGAAGATTTGAGTTCTAAAAAGAATTTAAATGCATCAAAATCGGACAAAGACAAAAAAAGTGATAGTAAAGGAAAATCTAAGGATGATGATCATATAGATAAGGAAGAAAAATCTAAGGATGATGATGATGTAGATAAGAAAGAAAGAGTTAAGAGTGGGAATGACACAGATGAGGAAGATAGTGACAGCAATGAGACTGAGGAGGAAAGTGACAGCGATTCAAGTAAAGATGAAGATTTTGTCGTCTCCAAATCCCGACGTTCTTCTAGAAGGTTAAAGAAGTCAGGTATTACCATATAAGATTTCATTTCTATTTGATGACTTTCTTTTTTACCAAAAAAATATGGTCTTCATGAAAATAACCTTTTTATGGGTATGTCTTTTTACCACAAGGTACCACAAGGAACCACAAGGAATCACAAGGAACCACAAGGAACCCCAGGGATACCACAAGGTACCCCAGGGACACCATATACAACCTTAATTATTCTAAATATGGTTTATATGCACTTGTAAATTAGAAAAAAAATGTTTTTGAAAGACAAATTAACACTTTTAAATTAATTGTCTTAAATATAGAGGAGTTACCCAAGTTAAAAATTTATAGGTAATATTAATTAATTAAACAATTAAGCTCAATTATGCATGTTTAGTTTTGAAGAACTTTAATATTTTATATGGTGTAAAGAAATAATCATGTTTTAACTATGATTTGTGTATTTCAATACACAAAACCAAAGGGCACTCACATAAAACCAAATAATACTCTTAAGGTACCACAAGAAATCCCAGTGTACCCTAGGACACCCAATTCAACATTAATAAATGTACATGTAAATATGGTTTATATTTGCACTTGTAAATGACACAGTAACTGTTTACTGTATATACTTCAATACACAAATCAAAAGGATACTCGCTTAAGAACCAAAGGATAGCCTTAAGTTACCACAAGGACATCCCAGGGTAACCCGAAGAATATCCCAAAATACCCCAAGGACACCCAGTTGGACCTTTATAAATCTAAAAATGGTTTTATGCTTTTGTAAATAACATAGTAACTGTTTATTGCATATTTTAATACACAAAAAAGGATACCAAGGAAACCCTAGGTATCTGAAGAATACCCTTAAGTATCCCAATAATGAGCCATATCACTGACATCCAATTCAGCTTTAATAAATGTAAATATGGTTTATGTGCATTTTTTAATTACATCATTATCTGTTTATTGTTTATTTCAATACAAAAAACATTTTTTTTTAGGATTCAAAGGACCCCAAGGGTACACCAATGACACCTCATTCAAAGTTAATAAATCTATAAATATGGTTCATACATGTATGCATTTGTAAGTTAGATACATGTATTTTAGTCTTGCTGAGGTTTACCAGTATATGTGAATTATATGCCATTCACGGTATACAAGGTAATGACCCTTGTATGTATTATGGTCATCAAAAAATTTCAGCCAATCTGATTGCTTAGAATTATTCACTCACAATTTCAGACAAATTGTCAATTCATCTGTGTTAATTATCTGCTATAATGAAAAAGTATATACAAATTTAATTTCAATGTCAGTTGTTATTTACCTGAACAAAGAAAATGCAACAATAAATCATCCTAAATTTTTTGCAGCATGATGACTATAACTTACAAAACTTTATACATAAAAAATATAACTCGTACATGAAGGGTCATAAAAAAAAAAATTTTATACCCCACGCAACAAGTTGCATGAGGTATAATGTTTTTGACCCGTCCGTCAGTCAGTCAGTCAGTCCGTCAGTCCTGTTTTATTTTGTCAGCACAACTCCTCATAAACTGCTGCACAGAATTTCGTCAAACTTTGTAGATATTTAGTACACAGTGTGTAGATGTGCATATTAACCAGGAAATTTCGATTCCTTTATTTTTCTGGGAATTTCGGCACTTTTCAACTTAGATTTTTGACCATATCTTGAATATAGAAATGAACAGTTTGTTAGTGCAACTCCTCTTATACCGCTGCACAGAATTTGGTTAACCTTTGCAGATATTTAGTACACAGTGTGTAGATATGCATATTACCAGGAAATTCCGATTCCATTATTTTTCTGGGAATTTCGGCACTTTTCAACTTCGATTTTTGGCCATATCTTGAATATAGAGATGAACAGTTTGTTAGTGCAACTTCTCTTAAACCGCTGCACAGAATTTGATTAAACTTTGCAGATATTTAGTACACAGTGTGTAGATATGCATATTACCAGGAAATTCCGATTCCATTATTTTTGCCTTAAGAGTTTTGCCTATTATTGAAGAAACTTTCCAGCTAGGTAATAAGGAAATCCCTTGGAATCAGCTTTTGTAATGAAATTTTATGTGAAATATTTTATGATCTTAAAAGACCCCTATTGATTTTGAGATCAAAATATTATTGATTTAACACACACACACACACACACCCTATCTTGGATAGTTCTCACCCCCCACCCCCACCCCTCAAATTGGTGCTTTGCCTAAATAATTTCATAAGTACAGTATATAAACAAATTCATATGACTACATCATAATTTTGTTTCCATCAATTATATGAATGTGTAAATTGTCATGTGTTGGACACGGACTTACACTCATTAACAAATCGAAATCACTGAGGAATTTAAATAACAGTTTGTTTGCATAACTCCTGTACTGAATTTCCTGAAACTTTGTAGGTATTTATAGATTTGTATATTACCAAGAAATTTTGATTCCATTATTTATCTAGAAACTTCAGCCCAATTAAATTTGTAACATACAAAGATTTGAATGTCCTTATATGCAAGAAGTTTTGGTGTGATGATTTTTTGCAAGTAATGCCCCTTTTTGAATTATACTGTGTATTTAAAATGCATTGAGTCCATTCATTATGTGTTGCATTGTCGAGTTTTGGGGGAGGGTGGGGTATGTGAGCTTGCTCACTTTTTCTTTCATTGCAATAGGATAATTTTTGTCAACATACAGCTATACACGAGAATATAGGTATTACTGCCCAACCCTAGAAGCCTTATGGTGACTTAACTTGCATGGATGATGCATCTCAGGATGTATACACTACCACACTTGCTTCAGATGCTGGATCTGACCTACTGGTATATTTTTTGGTTGAGTGACCAGAGATTTTTTTTTTGGTGCAGGTCTCATTCTAGCTAAAGTAACTGTAAGCCCTATGGTGACCAATCATTGAACAGATAAAGATTTGGAGCAAGCCCATTCCTATATATTACATACAGTACAACCTTTAAAACATCCTACGAAAACCAAACATGTTTAAATCTTGCACTAATTACTACCCCAATATTTATAAAGGTGAGACTTTGTCATACTTATAAAGGTAACAATTGACCTGTAGAGATGACCTGTGTAATCTTTGATTTAATACTTTATATATTTTGATATTTCTCAAGTACATGCCAGTTTTGCTACATTTGATTGTGTTATTTATTATAACTTAAAATTTATAATAAGTCAATTCTTGTTTGATTCATAATGCATATATCTTAAAACTAATATTTTGGCACCTGTAATGTTTGCATTCTTTATAAATACATTAACTTAAAGCTATATATGGCATATCTGAGGTAAAAAATAAAAATACGTACGAGATAGAATGTAGTTGAACATGATATTTGTTATTTACGTTCAAATTAAAATTTTCACTGATTCTGAACTTGAATAACCCCACGTTTCTATAGTTAAAATGACTTTAAACTGTGTCTGATATTTAAATGCGGAGTCAGTAAATAAATCGATTATTGTTTTACCCTTAAATTTCTAATATCTATGAAACGTGATTGATTTAAATTGTGTAATTTACAGGAAAGTCCTATCCTTATATAAAGTAATTAAAACAAATAGAAAGATCTTTTTAATTTTACTTAGTCTGAACTTATGAAAAATACGCCATATATGACTTAAAAAAAAAAAATCGTAATTCATTCTCATGCAAGTTTAATAATTATAATTCACACATATTGTATTAATAAATTATCTCCTATAGGATAGTAAATAGCTTGGCTACTTGTCTCAATCTATTAATATTACCTGGTAGTAACTGCATGGTTAGTTTTGTAGATCTATATTTATTAGAGAACAAAGTTCACTTACTAATAGGACCTTTTTTGGCCTTGTGAATTTCTGAAGAATCAAATCTGCTCAGTCTTCATTGAAAATATGTTAAAATTTCACTTGGAACCTCAGTGACTGCATACCAATTAAAAATGACATAATTTTCTCTCTAGTCCATGTATTAATAATTATGAAGTCATGAGTTGCCTCATTTTCCTCAAATCCTGAAAAAACTCTTTAAAAACGGTCAAAAAATGAAGCTGTTTTTCAATATTTTGCATAGTCCCCAACCTCTGATATAAATTGTTTATTTATATATTGAAAGAGCTGTTTCAGAAGATTTTTATCCATGAAATTTTATTTTGGATCATGGGGTGGGCTCATATTTTAATTATTAACTGAAGATGCTCAAATTCGTCCATTTTCTTCAAAATTCAGGAATATTGTAATTTCATCAAGCCTACTTTCCAATACCTGAACCCTCAAAGGAAACTTTTTTATGGGAAATGAAAGCAATATGTCTCTTTATATTGAGGTTTAAAATGGAATCTTGGGACTTTGTCAGTTAATTGGTATATATAGGGACATGCAGAGCCATTTTAAGGAGTTAGTGGACTTTTTTATGCCACAAAGAAGTGAATCCACATTCACTTTTTTTTTTTTTTTTTTTTTTTTTTTACAAAATCACATGGATTTTTAATAAAAAATTATTTTAAAAAATTTTGCATACAATTTTTTTGAACTCTGAGAATTGTTATTTAAAAACCCCAAAAGAAATAATTCAGACTGAAACATTATCATTATTAAGGGAGATCTGTCAAGTTCCCCACAAACCATAAAGTTTGGTATTTTTTTAAAAATGTTTTTAATTACCTCAAAATGGGTTTACAGAATTTTTTTTAGGAAATCAGCTAGTTTCTCATCAATTAAGTTTAATATCGTGATAACCCTTGGCCAACTTTAGTTGATATTGTTAATTTTACCAATGGCAGGCACCATATATGATTCACTGATGCAGGAAAGAATGGGTTATACATTTATTTTATTTTTTATAAACAATTTTCAAAATTATTGCCCATCTTTAGCAGACTGTAGATCTGTAGAAAAGTTGAAAGTACCAGGGTAGTAGAAACAAGACTCAAGTTTGGAAAAAAATGTGTCAGCTTCAGGTATTTTTGTAAAACATATTATTTTATTTAACAATTTCCAGCTAAATATAGTGACACATATCCTATGTAAATGGTACAAGAAAAACTTATTAAGTTTGTTGATTATATAAAACCCAGGTATTTTATCACCAACCATGCAGTTTTACATTTGTTTATACGGTTTATTCCCACTTAGCCAAAATTTTGATTTTCTTATTCCCATCTAGCCAAAATTGGGATTTTCACACCTGGGTGGTCACCTGTGTATAGTCTGTTTTAGGCTTATTACCTGTAATAATCACCTGTGTTGTACAAGGTTCATTATTAAAATATCTATCATTAATATTTTTATTAGATATTAATTAACCAGGTTCTACATATTTATAATTTTAACTGTTTAAAATATATACATACATGTATATATCAATACCATGGCATTTTTAAAAAAATATATAATTTTAGTTAATTTACATTTTTGGATCTTAAATTAAAAGAATAAACAATGTTAAGAATGATTTTTATAAAAGAATAAATAAATAAATAAATGAAAAAATAATTTTAATTCATCAACAAAGAGATAAATAATTTTTTGACAATAAACAATTTTTATGTATTTGGATTATAACTTAACTAATACAATTTAAAAGAGGAAAACAATGAAAAAAATAAAAAATTTGATTTATTTTTGCAGAAATAATGAGCTATTAAAAATGCATGATACAAAGATAGAAAGGGGTCGTTTATACACCTAAGGTATGGTGTAACCAGTCCTTGTGTACCTTGTGTATACACAAGTTAATCACTGAAAACTGTTGATCATCACTGATGATTACCTGAAATTGTGGATATATGCATGCATGCAAACAAGAAACCCTGTACACAAGAGAGTTCTCCATATGACATTGAAAATAAATGTATGCTATCATTTCTATATTCCATATAACTTCTCTCTTAATTGAGATGATCATATTCTGTACAATCTATAGAAATTCGTACAATGCCATGAATGCATGATGATTTATTTTTTAATAAATGTATCAATCTAATATAGAGAAATTTAATAAGTTTGAATTCATGCATTTCCATAACAAAGAAACTCACAACCTTGGACTTCCTTTTTACATGTACATGATTGTTTTTATATTGTATTAAGGAATAAATGCTATGAAAACAATGAACGAAAATGTTTTGTTGAGAAAAGTTTTTGTGTTTATATATATATATTTAGTTTTTCTAGTTTATTTCCTGTGATTTTTACCCAGGAAATTTTTTCAAAAGCAGTGTAGTTTTAGTAAATTAACTGAAATTATTGTTGTTTACTTACATTTGGATATATAAGGTGTGTGAATTCAAAAATTAGAAATTTTGGAGAAAATTCAGTTTGTTTTAACATATTTTTCAATTATATGATCATAATATGTATATATACATTCTAGTTGAATACTTTTTAAGTATATCAATAGAATACACAAATCCATAGAAAAGTTTCAGAATTAATTTTTATTAACCAGTGTTAACAGAATTTTATTTAAAAAATTAGAACTTTTATTTAAAAAGACAAATCTCCACCAAAAATTTGATCATATACAGACAGTCAGACCATAAATTTAACTCATGTAGAAAGTTTAATAAATGATGTGTTAAAATTAATTCCCAACAAATTACTTAATATCAATTTATATAAGGCAATTCTGAAAACTAAATAAAACAAAAAAAGAATTTTGAAAGTGTTATTTTTTTTAAATACAAGATTTAATGGAAGTGATTCTATTTAACCTCATTTTGTTGCACTAGCTCCTGACTTCTGATATATTGTTTACAAAAAAACATCATCTTAAATTTATAACACACTCATTTTTTTTTATTTTGTAATTAAAGGCACTTCATTGTTTGGAAATCGTAAACCATTTATGGGTAGTTTTTCATACTTTCTAGACTTGAATGAGGATGCAAGTTTTTTTCCCCAATATAGTTGCACTTCTGACATAAATAATTTATTTTATGTGTTAAATACCAGGGGCAGAAGGGGTTTTAAAAGAAATAATTTGAAAATGGCACCGTATGCATTTTCTCAACACAACTGTAAGCACTTTCAAAAGAAGATTTTCAAAAAAATGATGCTTTTTCACTATATTACCAATAGATCCTCACCCTACACCAGAACCCCTAGCTTACCCACAGGCCATAAAGCTTCACAATTTTGTAAGAGGCACCCTTGCTCATATATGCATCACACCATGCATTTACTTGTAACATGTTTGCCTAATTTAATATCCTAGAGTAAAGAATATTTTGAAAGAAATAATGCTTTTTCACCAGATTACCCTAAAACCTGACCCCTAGCTGGGCCACAAATTTTACAATTGATAGAGAGCTCAATTAATGCTTATTACATTCATGTCAACAGTTTGACTATTGAATTTCCAAGATTAAAGAAGAAGATTTTATCAATTGCATTTACAATGTATTTTGATGGTTTTAGTCCCATCCTTCAAGCCCAGAAGGGGAGAGGGGTCAAGGACCATGAAATTCAAAATTCATGTTTCCCTTTACCTATAAAAACTGGTTAACTTTACCCATAAAACTGGTTAAAATTGGTTCAGTGGTTCAAAAGAAGCTGAAAATTTAAACATTTTATGACCAATGAACAACAAACATAAACAAATCACAACTGGTAGGTCACCTGAATGACTCAGGTGACCTAAAAAAATTATATTTACAATAAACAGTTTACTTTGTAATTAACAAATGAACATAAATCATATTTAGATTTATTAAGGTTGAATGGAATGTCATTTATTAATCTAAGTGGTTCTTTGGGTTTGTTTGTTGGGATTTCATCATGATCCTAAATGTCCCTTGGGGTTCTTTTATTCTTTATGTTTTGTATTATACAAATATACAATAAACAGTTATAATTCATAATTAACAAGTGCATTTAAACCATGAAAAGATTTTTTAAAAGTTGAATTGAGTGTCATTTGGATTTTCTTTCAGGTACCTTGGCTTAAATCCTAGTGGTACAGGGGTTATCATTAGGATTCTTCTTGGATATCAACTTTTGGTTTGTGTATCGACTACTGCAATACACAATTAACCATTAACTTTTTGTACATCATAAAAAGATACAATAATTTAACTGTTCCTCTGAACTATAAATGCATAATTTAGCTTAAATAAGTATATTTACTTTTAAATTTTTAACTTGGATAACTGCTCTATATTTAAGACAATTAAAGTGTTAAATTGCCTTTCAAAAACATTTTTTTCTAATTTACAAGTGCATATAAACCATATTTAGAATAATTAAGGTTGTATATGGTGTCCCTGGGGTACCTTGTGGTATCCCTGGGGTTCCTTGTGGTTCCTTGTGGTATCCTTGTGGTACCTTGTGGTTCCTTGTGGTAAAAAGACGCACCCCCTTTTTATGAATATTTAGATAGACTTTCTTGCTAAAACAGTAATGCCAATTTTAATTAAGCTGCCTAAAAGCATATTGAGGTTATAGGAATTCAAGTTTATTAGAACCTTTCTAAAGGGAGATGATGAATAAGTTGATTCATCATCGGATACCCATGGGTGATCTTGTCTTTTACTTATCACCCATAGGCAAACTCGCTGAAATGTCGTATGTAATTAATATGCGCGTGTCATTTAATTGGCAATTATAAGGAATCACAGTTTACATTAAGTATGTATGTTCGGTAATAGCAAATGCTTTTCAGTAGTTGACACAAAGTTTGCAAACAAATCCACTCACCAGTGCATTTAGCAGCATGAGAAAAGTACTCCTATATTATTCCTGAATTGTATTTAATGCCAGTGACATGTATGATGTGTCTTTTATTGTTTTAAAACAAATTTCGCATGTTTTAACAGTGTCACGATATTACCATAAATAGCAAACTTATAAACGTATTTTCAAAATTAAGGAGTTCCAACTTTCTGATTGGTTGTCTATAATTGATGATTTTGCATAAAAAACAAGGATATTTCTGCGAGTTTTCCCATGGGTCATGAGTAAAGACGAGATCACCCATCCAACAATGGGTATCCAACAATGAAGCTAAGTAAAAAGGATGGGTACATTTAAATATTAGTATGTCACTAAAAATCTTACATGATGCATGTTTTAAGTAATTCAGTTAAACGTGTCTTCAGGGGCCTCTTTGGATACCCATCATGTAGTTGTTCACACCAGGGCCTTGGGGAGTAGTGGGGCTATTTAGGGTTCTAACCCTTTTTGAAGGAATAGAGATAGAAGAAAAACAGAGAAAGTCTCTCTCTCTCTCTCTCTCTCTCTCTCTCTCTCTCAATAAATTCTCATTGATAATTGGTTGACTAACAAGACCCATTGTCTGATTAAGAATGTAAATACTGATGTTACTTGACATGTTTAAGAGGAAGTAATCAGATCACATAAGCACTGTTTTACTTTCTTAAAAAATATTTATTTTAGCCTCAGCTAAAAAGCCTGACAAGAAGAAAAAGAGTAAGGATGATTCATCTGATTTTGATTCAGACTTGGAGAAAGATATTGAAAAATTATCCAAGAATCCTACTAAATCCTCAAAATCTCGCACAACAAGGAGCAGTGCTAAATCAGAGAAGTCAACAAAAAAGCCAAAAAGATCTGGTAAAATTAAAGATGAATTTTACAGATGCAGTTTTTAGTACAAGTCTTCTGAAAATTTGAGGTATATGTATATTTAATGCTGAAATTTTCTGTATTGTAGAGGGGGAAAAGAAAACTGGCAAAAAGAAAGGGATTTCGGGGGATGTCAGCTCTACTGATGATGATAAAACGGAGGAAGATGATGACAACACTGAAATTGATGAGCCAGAGGGAGAAATTGACATGGTAAATAGATATCATTAAATTGTTAGTGAAATCCATGAAAATTCAAGATTGCATCTGGTCTGTGAAAATAGTGATGAAGTGACCTGAAAAAAGACATTTCGAAAGAAAAGAAAAATCATTAAGGACATTTTCATTAGATTTGATAATTTTAATTAAAACCTCTTTGAAGGATTGCTCTGCAAATGCCCAAGCAAAAGAAGACTTGTTAAAAGAAATGGAAGAAGAGGCGACAGACGAGGATAACGATCAGGATAGCAGTGATTCAGGTATCCTTCTAAGTCACTCAGTTGACCTATTATTGCTAGCTGTTTTTGTGTGTTTTTACGAAGTATTTTTATATTTCTAATTGTGAATTTACATTAATAGAAATTTTAAATTTGTTATTGGAATTCTATAACAATTGATCATTTCATACATTTTCACTTGTTATTATGCTGCAGTTTTATTAGTTGCTGCATATGTGACATGGTTTTTGTTAGTCAGTCACTTTCCAAATGCAGACAGTCTTGCATAAAGTAACGCAGCATATTCAGCCCTGGATTTCTGAAAGAGAATGAGATACATGGAGCTTTTGTTTTCTTTTCTGAAATTCTGTATGTAAGAAATTAATTTTGTTTAAAAGCATGTGGAAATACAGTTGTTGATAACAATAAGCTTAATTTACAGAAGTCATAATCACACCAAAAAAGAAGAGGAATGCTGTAAAGAAAGCAAAGTACACCATTGACTCGGACAGTGCGACAGAGGAAGACATGCCTAAGAAAAAGAAAAAACGAGATGAGTTGCTTGATGCAAAGCTGTCAAGTAGTGACTCCGATGTTGTATCCAGAAAGAAAAGGTATTTGAAACATTGATAGAAATAAATACACGTACCTTTGCTATTGCATAACAGGGTACATGTACATGTAAAGTACAAGTAAAATCATTTCATGTTAAGTATAAACTTGAGTAATGTACAAGGTATGTTATTTCTGCATAAAATGCACACAGAATATACAGTAAAACTAGCATAAACTACATGAAATTAATGTTTTTCAGGCCTTCGCGAATCCCTTTTGAGGTAGCCGCATTGCAATTTTGATTGTATTTTCAATAAAATAGAAAGTTGATAATGCAGGAACCAACTTGGAAAAAAAATTCTGCCCTCATTTTCTCAAAGTTTTGCACTCGATTTTTGTTTCTGTTATCCATTTCCTATAAACCTGGACTTGATAGCCATTCAACATGGACACTTTGTGGGCGAAAAATAAAAAGTATGCAAATATATTTGGTAATTTTCTGAGATGTTAAATATATCTACAGAATGACTCCAGTATAACAGAAGAAAGCATTTTCATTGATAATTTTACAGTAAATTCTGGAATAAAAAAATGCCTTCCGCATTTATTTTATAGACGATTAAAAGATAAAAAAGGTCCTCCCACCTGCATCTGTTTTTTTTTTTTAAGAAAATTGGCCTGAGAACCGTAACATCAATTTTACTTATCCTTATAAAAAAGTGCCAAGGACAATTTTTTTTCTTTAATTCATTATATTGGTTAAGTTCATAATGCCTTTTAAAACTACTGTTATTTCATAATGAGCATCATTGTTATCACTTTATTTTACTGTCCTGTATGTGTTTTTGAGAATGTGCAGTTTGTGTTGTTCACTTGGCATGATGAACATGTAGGGATAATCATCATGCCTGTAACTACAAAATCAAAAAGAAAAACTTTTAATACATTTTGTGAATGAAAGGACTCTTAAATATTGTACTGTACATGTAGCAAGAAGAGGAAAGCAAAGTCCTCCAGCAATGACACAACTGAGACAGATAGTGAGGATGAATTTATTGCATTGGGAAAGAAGAAAAAGGGAAAGGCTGGTAAAAAGAAGGCAGGGACTGGAAAGGCTAGGAAGAGGAGAAGGATCAAAGCTCCCAGCAGTTCTGATGATGACGAGGAGGCCGTAAGTGAAGATGAAAATGAAGAGGTTAGTTTTCTGTCTGGTCTTTGACAAAGAATTGGCACTGTTCTTTAACACATAGTAAATGCTATGTGATCATTGGTGATGTAAAATCAAAATCCACCATATCAGTCCATCTTAAAAAAATCTCAGTATTTTAGCTTTATACAGGTACAGCACAATGCTGAGCACATTGTTTAATCATGTTATGTTGGTGAACAATTGTCACTGATTTACCAGTATTAGAAATGAGGTGCAATGTCTTTTAGGGTGCAAGCAGATCTGAAGATGAAGGCGATCCAAATACACCAAAAAGACTCAAGAGGAAAAAAATTAGAAAAATAAAATCGGAAAAGAAATTGACCTCTGAGACTAAGTCAGCTGCTAAAGCTGAGGAGGAAAGAAGGAAAAGGATAGCAGAAAAACAGAAAATAGTAAGTCTACAATGATTCATTTTGACCTGCTTCACATGTAAATATTGCATTGATTTTGCTCAGACACACTATTTTATTAAATGTGCTTTCATATATATGATTTAGAGAGGTCCGTACCTATTTTCAGAATGAATCACTGGTAAGAAAATGAGGAGAATTCATTATTATGATTTGAATACAAAGTTTTTGATCCATAATTTATCAGTTCTTGAGAACTATATAACTCATAATATAGTATGAAATATAGTATATAGATTTACACAGATTTCTCAGACTGCTATTGTATTTCTTTACTGCGCTTTGAGTACACTGTGACAAATTTCTGCAGAAAATTTTTGACCTCTACAGTATTAAGCAAACATACTAAGTGCATAATTATGATGAATTATGGTATCTCTTCCAATATTGTAAAATTCCTGGCTCCTTGGTCAGGGGTTTTGGTGTTAGGACGGGGCTCTGTATTCATTATATGGTGAAAAATGCATTATTTCTTTGAAAGTCTTCTTCTCTACCCAGGTATTTAGCAAACATACTAAGTGCATTAATTATGATGAGAAAGGGTATCTCTTTCAAAATTGTGAAATTCCTGGCTGCTAGGTCAGGGTTTCTATGTTTGGCAGGACTCTAATGATTATATAGTGAAAATGCATTAATTCTTTGAAAATCTCTACTCGGGTTGCATTATACTCAGGTGAAGATTAAGGTCCTTGGGCCTCTTGTTTCACATTAAAAAAAAACACCGTTTAAATAGAGTGAATAGCTTTAAATATGCCCAATATTCACCTGTCTGTGTTAATAAAACAAATTTTGATGTATTTAGTTCAATGGAATAGTTCAAGAAGTGGATGAGTCTTCTCCAACTAAGTGTCCTATAACAAAACAGCTTGTTCTGGATTTTGAAGAAGAAACAAAGAAACCAATCATTGAAGTGGATAAAGGATTAGTTGTTAAACTGAAACCTCATCAGGTTGAAGGCAAGTCTAGAAAAAAAATATTTTTACCAAATTTTGTCATTTTTGTTTCTCAGCATCAGAAAAATTACTAAATATTTTGCTTTTATGCACAGTTTTGGTTGTTCACACCAATTTGTGTCCCAATTGATCCAGAAAAAAAATCAAATTTTAAAATAATCATTATTCTATTTCTATATCTGTGATTGTATAAGTGACTGGATTGTGATCCTTAGAATTTCATTTGCAATTTGTTGCTGTTCATTTATTTTAGCTGTACAGTTTGTCTGGGATTGTACCTTTGAATCATTAAAAAGGGCCAAAACAGAGGAAGGATCTGGCTGCATTTTAGCTCACTGCATGGGTCTAGGAAAAACCTTGTCAGTAAGTGATTATAAAGAACACATGTGTGTGTTTAAAGGGTAAGTGATTACAAGATTAACAAGTTCCATGTAAAATACAAGATAAAGACTCCCCCCCCCCCCCCCCCCCCCCACCCTTTTTTCACCTTTTTACACTATTCTTAGTAATGCTAGAAAGATGTCATGTAACAGGATTAGACAAACCAAACTTTTGTATCAGTAAAATAAAGCAAAAGTTGCTACTTCTGTGTATTGGCAGAGTATTTTAGCATCCTATGTAATGGAATTTTTACCTTGATTTTGTAGTAAAGGTAATTTTTTTTTCAAGCATAACAGGAGTTGAAAACTAGAATTCAAATAATACATGTATACTCTATGGTTAGTTTCTTTAGATAACTCTAAAGAAACACAACTCAGTATTTTAGGTTAGGTATTTTAGGTATGTATATAGTGTTCTTTGTCTGATTTTGTTAACTTGATAAAGGGAATTGGCTGCACATTGATATTAAGATTATAAGAATTTGAAATTTAATTTTGAAAAAAAAAATGCACCTTTGATGGTATGTTTCTTCTATTCTTAAAATGCAGGACATTTTATGTCTTCACATTTACAATTTTATTTTCAGCTGATAACATATATTCACACGATGCTTACCTACAGCAAGAAAACGAATGTGCATACTTGTGTAGTTGTGGCACCCCTGAACACTGTCCTTAATTGGCAGTATGAGTTTGAAATGTGGCAAGAGTTCACCAAAAAGGAAGTAGATGTAAGAACTAGTTCTAAATTTATATGTAATACAGTCAAACCTCGTTATCTCGAACTTGATGGGACTGAGAAAAAACTTCCATATATCCGAGGATTAGAGATATCAGGGGTAAAATACTTAATGAAAAAGTAGTTGGAACTTCCACATCACTTCGACATATCCATGGTATTCAAGATATCAGTGTTCGAGATACTGAAGTTCATCTGTATATACATGTACCTAATTTAATATCACAGATACATGTATAACTAGAATGTTATGTACATGTACCAGATATTAAGAGACATATAGGAAGCAAATAAAATAGGTTTTTTTTTTACCGACAGTATTTTTGGCACAAAAAATGAGTAGATGATATCATCATCGTTTTTGTTCCTAAGTAGTGCTGAACTATATGCATTGACAATAATAGCAACCCTTAATATCATGCATTTGGAAATGTTATCTTAAGAATATTTCTAATTTAGCTACATCTGATGTGTATGCAATACAATCCTCAGAGTTTATACTACTTCTTGTTTACCGTTTAACATTTTTTTATTGACTCTTCTTGAAAAACAAGGCAAATTCAAGTCTGAAGTAACAAGCACTGTTTCATCTTCCATTGCGTAATATAATATACACTTCCTCTGGAAATACATATAATTATATTTTTAGAAAAATCTTTTATTCCCTTATGTCAAAATTAAAAATTGATTATTGCACATTTTATTGTTTATGTGCATGTATTTAAAGGTGTATGAGATGTCTTCAGTGAAGCAGAATGCCGATCGTGCTGCACTGCTGAAGAACTGGCACAGAGATGGAGGGGTGCTTATCCTGGGGTACGACATGCTCAGGAACCTCTCCCAGGGCAAACACTGTAGAAGCAAGAACATGAAGAAAATCTTCACTGAAACTCTGGTGGACCCAGGTATGTGGACACTGAACATCAGTAGTTTAATGCATTTTTCAGAAAATGTTGTCTTTATTTACTTTGGTCAATCTCACCATGCTTAGATGATAAAATCCATCCATCTTTTATGAATAGTGCTTATAGTGTACATATACTTTATTTAATTTTCAGTTTCCTGTTTTCAAGATTGATTTTTCTTGGTCTAATCTGCATTTTATAATGAATACAGGGATTAAAAGAGATGAAATTTACTACCAAGTTTGTTTTTCCCCTTTCTGTTAAAAACTTTTTTTCATGAAAATCTAAAATCCAGAAAGTGAATTAAAATACACAGTATCAAATCTTGATACTGGTATATTTTTGGACTGGCCAAAAAAAATCCTAGATAATGAAGTTGAAATTTGAGTATATGATAGGATCAAGGCAGCCATCTCATTTGACACATTTCCTAATATGACACTGCTATGCTCGTTTGGAGTTCTCAGTATGGTCCTGGCTTACAATTGATCAGAGACCTGGAGCTCTTATGATCCATAGCTTTTTTTGTTGTCTTTTTTCAGAGGTTACCTTGCATACTGTTTTAATCTTTTGAAGTAATTTATTAAATTTTGTTAAATTGGCATGCACATAAAACTTAAGTTATATGTATTTATAAGCAGAAAAAATATTTTGCATTTTTCCTAACAAAAATGAAGTGGTATATTAACTTATTCAGTTATTTTCATTTAAAAATGCCATATTTAAACAGGACCTGATTTAGTGATATGTGATGAAGGCCATATTTTGAAGAATGACCAGTCTGCCATCTCCAAAGCCATGAACAGGATCAAGTCTCGTCGAAGAGTGGTGCTAACTGGAACACCATTACAGAATAATCTTATGGAATGTAAGTACAAGTAACTCTACAGGTGACTAGAAATGACTTGAACTTTGAACTCTCAAGATTCCTGATCTCTCAAAGGAAGTCTTCAGTCACACTTTTTTTTTTCTCCTACTGTATATAGCAAGGCAGATTTAATTTCTCAAACTCTCAATCTATCAAAACCCTTGATCACTCAAAGTCCAAATGCAGTCTTGTAATGCATTTCTATTCTAATTTACCCTCACTACCTTGAAGTGGCTGTGTATGTAAGCTTGACCTAATTAGCACAATTACCTGGAAATTTAAATGGCTCCAGGAATCAATGCTCAGAGACTAGTAAAGTGTCTGTCTGTCTATTTGTTTCACAATTTTTCAAAATATTACTCCTCCTACAGTTTTTCTCCGATTTTGATATAACTTGGCATACAAGTAGATTACACGATATAGTTTTTGGTACTATATTTATGCTTTATCATTGAAATATATATATAAAAAAAAAAAAACCTTTATTAAACCAATATTATGGAAAGAGTTTCTTTTAAAAAGGTCAGGTAACTTTTTAAAGATGTAGACAAATTAGTCAGGAATTTAAAAAAGGCAAGATAAGGTAAAATTAAAATTATTGAGATAAAAAAATCAAAATGTCTTCTTGGCTGTTTTTGGCTAAATAATTTCAAAGTTTGCTTTTATATTGGCAAAATGTTGCGTTTATGGTGTTACTGCAACGTTATATGTTGAACGTAAACACGTCCACATACGTGTATCTTTATATTTGGAATATGCAAAATCTAAAGATGATTTTGATCACTTGACATGAAAACATTGAAGAAAAAACACTCCACTACTGAGGAAGAGGAGGGGGTGTTACCGGCAATGTTCTTTTCACATTAGTTGCAAGCCAGTATATTGCCCAAACTCTCAAAGATTTGTTAATTTTCCTTTATCAAATTTTCATTAGCAGAATGTAAAATACTTGCATTTAGCTTATACTCAGACAGGTTTTGTTACATAGAAAAAATGTACTTGATACTTGTATTACTTACATGTGTTATAGTATATTACTATCTGTTTACCATGTCATTTACATGTAGGTCCGATAGGCTGGGTGTTTGTATGAATTTTACTAACAGAATATATTATATGAAAATTTTATATGTGAAAAGAACATTGCCAGCAATATAACTTGGCACACAAGTGGAATACACTAAGATACATAATTCTGTAAATTGGTTTTTGATTTTAATGAACGATGTTGCCATGGTGACTAAAATAGAAATATCTATGAAATACTTTCAAAACACTACTCCACCTGTAATTTTGGTCTTGAATTTAATTTAACTTGGCATGCAAGTAGACTTAACTGAGATACACAATTGTCTGTATCTGTTTTTGATGTTACTATGGTTACTAAATTCAATATTTCTTTAAAATCCTTTTAAAAGGCTCCTCCTCCTACAGTTTTAGCCAGATTGCAATAAATCTTGACACAAAAAGGGACTAATCCAAGGATCATTATTCTATTTATTGCTGTAGTAAAGTTTCATGTCCAAGTGCTACTTTCTACTTCCTGTGTTATAGGTACAAACAAATAGAGCTACAGTCTCATCAGAGACATCTGGTTTTCTAAGCTGCTTTATTTTTTCTAACTTTTAGATCATTGCATGGTTGATTTTGTGAAGCCCAATCTGTTGCTACTTTCCACTTCCTGTGTTATAAGTACAAACAAGTAGAGCTACAGTCTCATCAGAAACGTCTGATTATTTTTTCTAACTTTTAGATCATTGCATGGTTGATTTCGTGAAGCCCAATCTGCTGGGAACAAGTAAAGAATTTCGTAACAGATTTGTCAATCCTATCACCAATGGCCAGTGTGCTGACTCTACAGCACATGATGTGAAGATCATGAAAAGACGAGCCCACATCCTCCATGAAAAACTTAATGGTTGTGTACAGGTATTGATGTTGTTTTATAATTTGTTAAATGAATACAGATTTGTATCAGGGTACTATTAGAAATGAATTTTGTGTTCCCATTTTAGTTTTTCGAGCATATTGTACAGTATTTGCTGCTTAGTCATTCTTGCACAATTTATATAAATCTTGCATTACATCTCTGACATGTTCATTTATTCCAATTGTATACTTGTATCTCTCAAGGTTATATCTCAAAAGATATTTCTCAATGAATGATTTTTTTACAGCCTGTGTTCCATCTAATAACATACATGTGCATGTATTTGTTTCTATGGAACATACATGAATTTGTACAAATTTTTCACTGCCCTTTGATCAACAATCGTAAAGTGATCAAAAGTCTCACTTCTATCTAAGGACACAAAAGGGCAAGAAATTCGAAATGCTTAAATGTCCTCTTAGATGCTTGTTTTTGGATTGTTGATATGCATCATATTTGACTGTTAGCCTTGAATCATTTTGATACTGCCAAGGTCATTCTAGATGTTGAATGAACATTCCATTCTCATTTAATACATCATGACCTTTGCAAATGCAAATGTCCCAAAAATGAAAATTACTTTGTATGAAATGTCTACTTTTCAACAAAGACCTCTTGGAAAATCTAAAGCAATAAAATCTACAGATATTCTTTTTGTATTCCTTCAGAACTTGTTAGGAATTTCAGAATAATATCCGTAGAACATTTTTTGTGCTGAATTAAGGACTGCTCTTTTTGTATGTAGAATTGTCTTTTATGTTTTACAGAGAAAGGACTACAGCTCACTTACAAAGTATTTACCTCCCAAACATGAATATGTGATTGCTGTGCGTTTGTCTCCTGTCCAAATTCGTCTGTATGAGAAATATTTGGAAATGGCTGGTTTTGGAACAGATGATGCTCCCAAGGCTAACCGTGGAGCTAGGCTGTTTTCTGATTACCAAGCTTTGATGCGAATCTGGACTCATCCATGGGTCTTGAAAATGGATGAAATTCGCCAGGCAGATAGGGTAAATGGTTGATGGATTTATATAATACTTTGGTTAATATTTTTAAAAAAAAGCATCAGTTCCACATTATCAAATGTTCAAAACAATACATGTACAGTATATAAACTTGTTACTCAAGAACTGTTTGCAAATTTTCATAACTACAATCCTAAAAATGTTTTTTTACTGGTAAAGACAAACACTAAATACATTTTAAACATGTCAAATTTTGATAAACATAGAATAGAAAAGGAGATCAAAAAAAAATGGAGAAAGAGGTTTGAAAATATTTCCTGAGATCAGTTTCATTTTTGGTCAGGGTACTTTGTGTGGTAGATGCATGTAATCTATTCTTGTTCATATTGTATTTTTCATGCCACACCATGAATATGGTGGGGCATACAGTGTTTGTCATGTCTGTCCTTCCGTCACACTTTGCATTTAGCTCAGTTTCAAAGAAACTATTCAGGATATTTTTTATCAAATTATGATATTCTGAAAAACATTAATGAGAGCTATTCAAATGCATCAAATTTTTTTACCTTGACCTCTCCTTTGACCTTGACCACACTTTTCAAAAACTGTGTTTAGTTCAGTTTTGAAGAAACTATTCAAGATATTCTCATCTTTTTATCAAACCTTATATGCTGATTCATTTTGATTAGAACTATTCAACTGCATCAATCAAACCTTATGCATTTTGGGGGAAAAATCTGATCCAGAACTCAGTTGAGGCCTATGGGCCTCTTGTTATATAAGCTTATCCACTTCTACATTATGAATGTATCCTGGGTGGGGCATACATGTCCAGTGGACATATTTCTAGTTTGTTTGTGTTGCACATGTGTGTATTTTATTGTTGTACAGTTATATTTGTTTTTTTTTTAAAATGAATGAAGTTGACTCATTTATATTAGGCCAACTTTAAAAAAAATGTTTACCCTCTCCCATCCGACTGACTAAAAAATGGCTGAACTCGATAATTTTCTTAACCTCCAGGAAACAATTATTTTTTTATTCACTCCGAAGCTTTCTCATCCCATTATTAACTATTTTAACTCTTCATATCTGCAAGTTTTCAGTAAGAAAATTTTTCCCTTATCTGCCTACCAAATTTTTTTATCCTGAGTCAAGAAAGTGCAAGCAAGCATGTTTTTAAAGATGGCCTTATTCACTATGTACATATGTATATATGGATCAAAACTTTGAATTAATTCTTATATAAAGTATTGTATTAAAATGATTTATGTATTGCTCTTGATACAAATGTTAATAGATTTTTTCATGCATAGATTTAGACATGTAGGTAAGTTATATCTGTTATCTACTATCAGCAAGGACACACATATGAAAACATAAATTCATGATAAAAACCTCCTTTGTTTAGAGACTGTTTGATGACGAGTCTGATTTTGTGGATGACTCGGATCCTAATGATAGTGATGGCAGCAAATCAACAGACAGCTCTGATTCATCAACCCCATCAGAGGTTTCAATCAAGTCTGATATATCAGATGGGGGACGCAAAACTCGTAGTTCAAAGAAGAAAAAGGAATCTGAAGATGATGACGACGACTCAGACACAGAGTCACAGTAAGTGGCAATATACTTTGGCAAAATTATACAGCAAAGAATTTCAGTAATTTACATGTTTTATACATGCACATATTCAAATTATGGTACAGTAAAAATGTGTATCTGTAGGTTTATGGTTAATGCACATTTTTTGGATGAAATATTTTAGGAAGAAAGATGAAGTTGTAAAGAAGTGGACAACAAGAAGACAAAGAGGAGATATCAGTATGTAAACTTTACTCAGATTTCATTTTTAGCTCACCTGAGCCGAAGGCTCAAGTGAGCTTTTCTGATCACATTTTGTCCGGCGTCCGTCTGTCTGTCCGTCTGTCCGTCCGTCTGTCTGTCTGTAAACTTTTCACATTTTTGACTTCTTCTCAAGAACCACTGGGCCAAATTCAACCAAACTTGCCACAAAGTATCCTTGGGTGAAGGGGATTCAAGTTTGTTCAAATAAAGGGCCACGCCCTCTTTCAAGGGGAGATAATTAGGAATTAGTGAAAAAATAATGGCATCATTTAAAAATCTTCTTCTCAAGAACCACTGGGCCAGGAAAGATGAAACTTATGTGGAAACATCCTCAGGTAGTGTAGATTCAAGTTTGTTCAAATCATGACCCCCGGGGGTAGGGTGGGGCCACAATGGGGGATCAAAGTTTTACATAGAAATATATAGGAGAATATCTTTAAAAATCTTCTTCTTAAGAACAGCAAAGCCATGATTAGTCATATTTGTATGGAAGCATCCTCAGGTAGTGTAGATTCAAGTTTGTTCAAATCATGACCCCCAGGGGTAGGGTGGGGCCACGATGGGGGATCAAAGTTTTACATAGAAATATATAGGAGAATATCTTTAAAAATCTTCTTCTTAAGAACAGTAAAGCCATGATTGATCATATTTATATGGAAGCATCCTCAGGTAGTGTAGATTCAAGTTTGTTCGAATCATGACCCCCAGGGGTAGGGTGGGGCCACGATGGGGGATCAAAGTTTTACATAGAAATATATAGGAAAATATCTTTAAAAATCTTCTTCTTAAGGATACACCAAAGGCTTTTTTCAAGATTTTCAACAATTTTGAGATTTTTGGCTAAGAAAAAGAAGTTAATCACTGCTTTATAATGCATGTAAAATTCTTGGTAATTATGAAATGGTTTTCTAATTATTTAACAATAATGAAACATAAACACTACCACATGTGAATGTTCCGTTATTGAAGCTTCTGATTTGATCTGTGACTGCCTGCTCATGAAAGACGCAATAAATCACTGTGACCACTTGGGGAATTCTTCACTAGCCACAAAGAGATTATCAGTAATTAAACTACAGGGACTCTAGATTTAGAGAAGGAGATCTAACAGATCACTGATGACCATAAAATAGGAGGTGGAGCTTAGCTCTTGCCATTTTGCCGGGAAATCTTTCTGATTCAGAATTGAACCTATTTTACTTAATTAAAAGCATCTAAATACAGAAAAGAACCTCCCATTCTTGTGAATATGCATAGGAAATAGCGCTAAGTGACAGGTATCCAAAGCTGAATCTCCAAGGTGTCATATATTCCTAGCTTTGGCAGATTTTGTTGTGTAATGGGTTTTTGCCCTCTACTGTATAGTAAGATCAGACAGTTTGTGGTATTATTTCAAAGGATTCAGCTCCCTCATTTATTGACCAATTTCTCTGAAAATTGGATGGGCTTCTTCTCAAATGTGTGTTCACAAAACCGTATCTCAGATTTTTGATATCTAGCTTAGTTTTGGAATTATTGAGGGAAATGTTAAATTAGGCTAATAAATTGGTAACATTGAAGGGCAAATGGCTGTAACTTTTGAATTAGAAGATTTATCAAAAATCTGAGATACAGTTTTTAAGTTCAATCTTTAATCTACCTTGAGGCAAAATGACCACTTTGAGGGGTTAAATACAAAAAAGTTGATTTATAAAATATTTAAGCACTAAAATTTACATTAATATTTAAATAATTTTTAAATAAGTTATTAATTAAAGTTTAAATTAGGATAATTAAATAGTAAATTTAACAAGCTTTCAAATGATATATACTTTTATTATGTTATCTTTGATAATGAAAGAATTGCATGCAAATTAAATTATAGCATTTGGAAACCTTTGGTGTATCCTTAAGAACAGCAAAGCCATGGTTGGTCATATTTATATTGAAGCATCCTCAGGTAGTGTAGATTCAAGTTTGTACAAATCATGTCCCCTGGGGATAGGGTGGGGCCACGATGGGGGATCCAAGTTTTACATAGAAATATATAGGAAAATATCTTTAAAAATCTTCTTCTTAAGAACAGCAAAGCCATGGTTGGTCATATTTATATTGAAGCATCCTCAGGTAGTGTAGATTCAAGTTTGTTCAAATCATGTCCCCTGGGGATAGGGTGGGACCACGATGGGGGATCCAAGTTTTACATAGAAATATATAGGAAAATATCTTTAAAAATCTTATTCTTAAGAACAGCAAAGCCATGGTTGGTCATATTTATATGGAAGCATCCTCAGGTAGTGTAGATTCAAGTTTGTTCAAATCATGACCCCCAGGGGTAGGGTGGGGCCACGATGGGGGATCAAAGTTTTACATAGAAATATATAGGAGAATATCTTTAAAAATCTTCTTCTTAAGAACAGTAAAGCCATGATTGATCATATTTATATGGAAGCATCCTCAGGTAGTGTAGATTCAAATTTGTTCAAATCATGACCCCCAGAGTTAGGGTGGGGCCACGATGGGGGATCAAAGTTTTACATAGAAATATATAGGAGAATATCTTTAAAAATCTTCTTCTTAAGAACAGCAAAGCCATGATTAGTCATATTTATATGGAAGCATCCTCAGGTAGTGTAGATTCAAGTTTGTTCAAATCATGTCCCCTGGGGATAGGGTGGGGCCACAATGGGGGATCAAAGTTTTACATAGAAATATATAGGAGAATATCTTTAAAAATCTTCTTCTTAAGAACAGTAAAGCCATGATTGATCATATTTATATGAAAGCATCCTCAGGTGGTGTTGATTCAAGTTTCTTGAAATCATGACCCCCAGGGGGTAGGATGGGGTCACAATGGAGGATCAAAGTTTACAGAGGAATATATAGGAAAAAATAATTTTCTCAAGAACAGAAAAGCTATGATTAGTCAAATTGATTATTGATATGGAGGCATCCTTGGGTAGTGTAGAATGAAATTTGTTCAAATGAGGGCCCACGGGGGTAGGGTGGGGGCCACAATGTGGGATCAAATTTTTACAAATGAAAATATGAGAAAAATCTTCTGCTTTAAAATTCCCCCCCCCCCCCCCCCCGGTAAAATGTTCAATACTGAACTGATTTTTGCTTTTTTTTCCTAGCCAATATGCTCAGGTGAGCGATGTGGCCCATGGGCCTCTTGTTATACCTAAGTATGTAAGGCCAAAAAAAAACTTGATTAGTAGTTTCTCGGGCACCGCCACATCAGGTCAAAGACAGCTGCATTTGATCAGAATGAAAATTACTACTAGAGCATGAATGAGTTTCTAATGATTAAAGTATTAGAAAGTATGATGGAAGTATTTGTTTTTAGGTCACCTGAGTCACTCAGGTGACCTATTGCTATCCGTTTTTGTCCGTCGTCGTGCGATGTGCGTTAACATTTGAACATTTTCAGCTTCTTCTCTGAAACCGCTCAACCAATTTCAACCAAATTTGGCATATAGCATCTATGGGTGAAGGGGAACAAAAATTGTGAATTTCATGGTCCCTGCCCCCCTGGGGCCTGAGGGGTGGGGCTAAAACCACCAAAAATAATGCAATCTTTAAAAATCTTCTTCTTTACTCCTGTACATCAAGCAGTCAAACTGTTGGCATCATTGTAATAAGCATTGAGCCCTCTACCAAAATTGTGAAATTCATGGCCCCAGGGTCAGGGGTTCTGGCCCCAGGGTGGGGCTATATAGATCATATAGTGAAAGTGCATTATTTCTTTGAAAATCTTCTTCTCTGCTCCTGAATAAAGTAACTAAGTACATAGTTATGAAGAACAAGAGTGCCTCTTCCAAAATTGTGAAATTCATGGCCCCAGGGTCAGGGGTTCTGGTGTTAGGGCGGGGCTCTATTGATTATATAGTGAAAATGCATTAATTCTTTGAAAATCTTCTTCTCTGCTCCTGGGTATTGAATAAAGTAACTAAGTACATAGTTATGAAGAGCAAGAGTGCCTCTTCCAAAATTGTGAAATTCATGGCCCCAGGGTCAGGGGTTCTGGTGTTAGGGCGGGGCTCTATTGATTATATAGTGAAAATGCATTAATTCTTTGAAAATCTTCTTCTCTGCTCCTGGGTATTAAATAAAGTAACTAAGTACATAGTTATGAAGAGCAAGAGTGCCTCTTCCAAAATTGTGAATTTCATGGCCCCAGGGTCCGGGGTTCTGGTGTTAGGGCGGGGCTCTATTGATTATATAGTGAAAATGCATTATTTTTTTGAAAATCTTCTTCTCTGCTCCTGGATATTAAATAAAGTAACTAAGTACATAGTTATGATAAGCAAGAGTGCCTCTTCCAAAATTGTGAAATTCATGGCCCCAGGGTCAGGGGTTCTGGTGTTAGGGCGGGGCTCTATAGATTATATAGTGAAAATGCATTAATTCTTTGAAAATCTTCTTCTCTGCTCCTGGGTATTAAATAAAGGAACTAAGTACAAAGTTATGATGAGCAAGAGTGCCTCTTCCAAAATTGTGAAATTCATGGCCCCAGGGTCAGGGGTTCTGGTGTTAGGGCGGGGCTCTATAGATTATATAGTGAAAATGCATTAATTCTTTGAAAATCTTCTTCTCTGCTCCTGGGTATTAATTTAAAGAACTAAGTACATAGTTATGATGAGCAAGAGTGCCTCTTCCAAAATTGTGAAATTCATGGCCCCAGGGTCCGGGGTTCTGGTGTTAGGGCGGGGCTCTATAGATTATATAGTGAAAATGCATTGATTCTTTGAAAATCTTCTCCTCTGCTCCTGGGCATTAAGGTGATAAACTAAGTATATAGTTATGATGAGGAGGTGGGCCTCTTCCAAAATTGTGAAATTCATGGCCCCAGGGTCAGGGGTTCTGGTGTTAGGGCAGGGCTCTATAGATTATATAGTGAAAATGCATTAATTCTTTGAAAATCTTCTTCTCTGCTCCTGGGTATTAAATAAAGTTACTAAGTACATAGTTATGATGAGCAAGAGTGCCTCTTCCAAAATTGTGAAATTCATGGCCCCAGGGTCAGGGTTTCTGGTGTTAGGGCAGGGCTCTATTGATTATATAGTGAAAATGCATTGATTCTTTGAAAATCTTCTTCTCTGCTACTGGAGACTATTTAAACAAACTAAGTGCATGGTTATGATGCATAAGGATGCCTTTTCAAAAATTGTGAATTTCATGGCCCCAGGGTCAGGGGTTCTGGTGTTAGGGTGGGGCTCTATTGATTATATAGTGAAAATGCATTGATATTTAAAAATCTTCTTCTCTGCTACTGGAGATTATTTAAACAAACTAAGTGCATGATTATGATAGACAAGGATGCGTCTTCCAAAATTTTTAAATATATGGCCTCAGTTTTTGGGGTTCTTGAGGGGGGGGGGGGGGGCTCTATTGATTATATAGTGAAAAAGCATTAATTGTATTAATTAATCATTAATTAATCCTGTCTGCTCCTTAGTGTTGAGCTGATAAATAAATTGCTTAGCTATGATGGAAATGGGAGCTTTGAACAGAATTTTTAAATCTTGTGGTCCTAGTGTGAGGGGTTCTGGCATAACGAGGGGGGGGGGGGGGGCTTTTGATAATATAGTGGAAAAGTGTTAATTCTTTGAAGTCCATAGTTATGATGATGAGGGTAACTCTTCCAAATTTGTAAATTTCTTGACCTTTGGTCTTGGGTTCTGGTGTTAGGGTAAGGCTTTGTTGAATCTGTAGTGAAAATGCATTGTACCTGAGAAATTCTTCTCTGCTTCTGGGCATATCGGAAGCAAACTGAGTAAAAGTTTAAATGATATGAGTAAGCGTATTTCTACCAGATTTTTAAACATCTGGACCATTCGTCTAAGCATTCTGGTCCTGGGCAGGGCTCTATTAATTTGTATTCTACTGAGAGAAGTTATTCCCCTTTTCCATTCACCTTTGATAATTAATCACTGTAAATAATGTATTTGAAAGGTTAATAGAATAAGATAATTATGCAAGAATGTTTATCGTATAATTAAAAAAGTACTTTCTTAGTTTTAATAATCAGGTAGACCTGTAAGTAATAGATAAATAAAAATGAGACAAAAATAACTTATCTTATTAAAAGTTCTTCAAAGACCATAAGAGAGGTCAATGCTAGAGGTCTTAATATGGGTATAAAAATAGTACAGAAGCACTAATAGTTTGTCAATAGTCTGCATGGTGATAGTGTTAAGTGGGGGACATATTAGAACTTAATTTATGAGTTGATACTGAATACTAGACTAATTATTTTGTTGATCCTGATCTTCCTACTTCTCTTGCTTTAGGGCACATTGCTTCATCTATCAGTGTATTTAACTTCGAAATTGTTGTAATATATTCAGGTGACCGTTAAGGCCCTTGGGCCTCTTGTTTATGTAGATGTTTTATAATTAATCATTTCCTAAATTTTGCCAATAAATATTTAAACTGTATGTGTAGGTGAACCAGAGGAAGACACGGGACCTCAGCCTGTCTCTTATGAATGGTGGGCAGAGTATGTCAATCCAGAGGATGAGGATAAATTAGAACTCGGTGGAAAACTCGTTCTTCTGTTTGAGATTCTAAGGATGAGTGAAGAAATAGGAGATAAAGTGTAAGATTTCCTCAATCTTATCAGCTGAACAAAAAGAGTTTAGAAAGTTTTCAAGTGGAAAATTTGAATAATAAAAAACAGTATTACTGTACATAATGTTTTTGTGCATTGTGGTTTGTAATTTTAGGATCTTGGTCTTTATTTTACAGGCTAGTTTTCAGTCAGAGTTTGCTATCATTAGATTTAATAGAACACTTCCTGGAGCTAGTAGATCAGAAGAGAGGAGATGAAGAAAAACTTGATAAGGACAATAAAGGAAGTGAAAAGAAGTCAGAGGAGGAGAAAAAGAAGGAGGATCAGAACAAAGTATAAACCTAACAATATCATGTTTTATACCTGATAAGAATATGACTCACATGTATAGTATACATGTATCTTCCTTTTTTTAATTTAACAAAATGTTTTTAACCAGTCACATTGAAGGAAAATTTACTGTTAGTCCATCTTTAAAAAATTGTTTGGTTGCCCTCTCCCGGCCGACTGGCTAAAAATTGCCCAACTCAAAACTTTTTTAACCTTCAGGAAGCATTTTTTTTTTTATGCATTCCGGAAAATAGATTTTGAAAATTCAGCATTGATTTTGAAATTTTCTTTAAAAAAGAAATTTCTCACCTACCTACCGACTCAATTTTCTCATGCTGAGTCGGGAGAGGGCAAGCAAACATTATTTTAAAGTTGGCCTTATATTTTTGAATTATAAACTATGGTTAATGTTTATATGTTGATCCTATTTGGGAAAGCCATCACTTTCTGTTATACCTTGTATAACTACTATAGGGTGAAGAGTTTGGGAAACATTGGACACTGGGTGAAGATTACTTCAGAATGGATGGATCCCATAGTGCCCAAGCCAGAAAAAACATGGCTGAAAAGTTCAATGACCCAGAAAATTATCAGTAAAAAACTTAGCTACATTATCACAATTCTAACTATTGGACTGAGTATGCAGGAGACATTAAAAAGCAAAGTTAAGAATGTGCATGAATGATAAACAATTGATGTAAGTTAATGCTTGTTGAAAATCCTACTGATTTTCCTGTATATTTCAGATGTCGGCTGTTTCTGATTTCCACTAAGGCAGGAGGCCTAGGGATTAATTTGGTAGCAGCTAACAGGGTCATTATTTTTGACGCCTCCTGGAATCCTTCACATGATGTGCAGTCCATTTTTAGAGTTTATCGATTTGGACAAGAAAAACCAGTTTATGTGTACAGATTTCTTGCTCAGGTTTGGCTCCAAGTCTATAAGAGTTGTTTAATAACTTTCTAAGTCAAAACAATATAAATTTAATTAAATGAACTAAAAGCTTTTAAGATTCTTTTTCAAAAGTTTGTTGCAGATACATGTATGTTACAACGTAGTCAAATGAGTGGTACTAAATTGTGATATGTTTAATGTTAAGTACAGCATATCTTCACTCTGACAGTAAGGGTTTCCTAGAATAAAGATTTACTATGATAATGAATTTGCAGGGAACTATGGAAGAGAAGATCTATGAACGTCAGGTAACCAAGCAGTCATTATCCCAGAGAGTGATAGATGAGCATCAGATAGACAGACATTTTAACGCCAATGAACTCGCTGAGCTGTATACATTCAGACCAGACAGACTAGATGATCCTAATAGAGTAGAGAAAACACCAATGCTGCCAAAGGTGGTTGCTCTTACAATTACTTTAAAAGCGGATGGGGGGTATTCCAAAATTCTGGCAGCATGCAATGGAAGGTTTTTTTGCTTATGGATGCATAAGTATTTTAGTTTTCATTTTGAAACATAGATGTGTGTCTTTTTAGGTCACCTGAATCACTCAGGTGACCTATTGCTCTCTGTTTTCATCTGTAATGGATTATTACAAGAACATTTCAACTTCTCTTCTGGAACTGCAGATGCGTTTCAACCAGGTTTGGCATATAGCATCTATGGCTGAAGGGAAACAAAAATTGTGTATTCAAAGTCCCTTTCCCCCTGTGGATTTGGCTAAAACCATCATAATTAATGCAGTCATGAAAAATCCTCTTCTTTACTCTTGGACATCAAGCAGTCAAACTGTTGACATGATTATAAAAAGCATTCTACCAAAACCTTTTACCAAAATTATGGAATTTATGGCCCTTGAGTCAGGGGTCTGTTGTTAGGGTGGGGCTCCAATGATCATACAGTGAAAATGCATTTATTCTTTGGAAATCTTCTATGCCCCTCGGTATTTAGCAGACAAACTATGATTATTTTATGTGGTGTTGATCATATAGTGAAAATGCATTTTTTAAAAAAATCTTCTCTCCCCCATATATTTTAGCAGAGAATATTCTGTGAATATTTTGTTTGATGCTGAAGCACTGTTGTCTTGTTATGTTTGGTGATAGCGATAGAGTGTTTATAGCCCTGGCATATTAAGGCTACTTTCTGAGAGTAACTATTTTGTTGAAGCCAGATCATCCTAATTCTCATGTTTTTGAGTTTCAGTTTGCTTTTTATGTCAAGCGATAAATTTGGCCAGGGAATATATATTTCTGTTCATCCATCACACTTTGCCTTTAGCTCAGTTTAAAAAAAAAATATTTGAGATCTTTTTTAATATCAAACCTTATATACTGATAAATATTAGTAAGAGCTATTCAATTGTATCAACATTTTTTTGACCTTGTCCTTTCCTTTAACCTTGACCTCATTTTTGTTAAATTTGTGTTTGGCTCAGTTTCAAACAAATCAAGATATTTTTATCAAACTTTTTATGCTGATACATTTTGGTGAGTGCTATTGAATTTTTCTTTTACCTTGACCTTCCCTTTGACCTTGAGCTCACTTTTCTTGAATTTGCATTTAGCTCAGTCTCAAAGAAACTATTCAGGATATTTTTATATGAGCTTATGCACTGATACATAATTTGGAGAGAATTTATCAACTGTGTCCAATTTTGTTTTACCTTGACCTTCCCAATGACCTTCAACTTTACTATTATTGCGTATAAAACTCAGTTTTAAATAAACCATACAAGAGTTCATACTTCTTACACTTGTACAAATTTTCATGTTGCATCACTAATGAACCCTTTGAGAGGGGGGGGGGGGTCATGCCCTATGGACATATTTCTGGTTGTTTTTATATAATTACCATTTCATGGATCCTTTACAGGGTTGTATTATACTTAGGTGACTTTGAAGGCCCTTGGGCCGCTTGTTGTACATGTATTTCTCATTAGAGCTTTTTTGGTAAAGTTTTGCTCATGTTAACCAAAGAAATGTTTTGTAAGGTGAAAAAAAGCTGTTAGGAAAAAGAGAGTTATTTTCTTCCAGGACTTTATGCTTGCTGAGCTGATGAAGTCACAGAAAGACTGGTTTGTCAATTATCATGAGCATGATTCCCTCCTGGAGAACAAGATAGAGGAAATATTGGATGAAGATGAGAGGAAGGCAGCCTGGGAGGAATATGAAAATGAAAGGAAAGGTGTAATACAAATGAGGCAGAACTTCATGGGTAAATGGCATTAACTCTATGTTATACTCTACTGCAGTAATTAAATTATAAAATTTACATGTATGTGACCTGTCTGTATATGTACATTATATCATAATGCATTTTAACTAGTTCTAATTTTAATGGAGACCATTACAGATGTTCCCTAAATGCTCCCCCTACTTCCTTTGGGACCCCATTCCCTATATGCAGCAACAAATTAAGCAAAACCTTTGTATTATAGTCTTACAATTTATTTTGAAAAGTATTTTGAGGTAATAACATTGCAAATCTAGCACAGTGAGCATAAGAAAATCAAAATTAAGTACATGTGCAAGAACATGATTTCGAAAATTGCCATACACATGTACAGAATCTGATAGAATGTCATAATAAAAAGCTCCATTTTAAATTTCAAGAAATTTCACTGAAAACATAGAAAATTACAGCAACATGAATATTAAGCAACCACTAATCAGAAATCAGTGCATTGTATGTGTGCATGCATGTCTGATGATTGAATAATGTAGAAACTTGCATTATTTATAAATACTTTGAATTTCATCCTCTTTCCTTAACAATTAAGAACGTTACACATACTAGCAACCTTAGCCAATCAGATTTTGTTTGGGGAACGTACATGTAATTATGAGTAACTATGCTATTATTTAACATATTAATTACATTTACATTGTAGATGAATGTAAAAATAAGCTTAAAATGTCGGTTAAAATGTTCTTAAGTTATTATTTCACTTAGTCTTGACTTCATTTGATTTTGATAAGTATATTAATGTAAACATGTTTAAAATATTTATAGCAAACATGCCCAATATGGGTTTCAACAACATGGTACATCAAATGCAGCAACAATCCCAGTATGGTATGCCATATATGTATAGCCAAGGATTCAATATGCAGGCTTTTACACAACAAAACCTTCTACAGCTGGTACAGGACATGAAACAAAGGGTAATAATAATGAAGACATATTTACAGTGTACATTTGATTAGCTCACCTGAGCCTTTGGTTCCCCAAATCAAGCTTTGATAGAGAATCTTAAATTATGTTCCAAGTCATAAGGCTTTTGCAGACTTCAAAGCATTAAACATTTTCATCCTGGCAAAGTGATGTCATAAGTTAGATATGTGTATCAAGTCAAAAAATGATGTAAATTCAGCATTTTAATGATTTTGAAAAAAAAGAAGATATAAAGATGAAACTTAAATTGAAGCATCCTCGGTTTATGTAGATTCAAGTTTGTTCATATTGTGACCCCAAGGGTGGGGCCACAATAGGCAGTCAAAATTTTACATTGAAATATATAGGAAAAAACTCTTCTCAAGAACAGCAAATACCTGAATAGTCATATTTATATGGAAAGCATCGTCAGTTGGTGTAGATTCAAGATTTTTTTTCCTCAAATTATGACTCCTTTGGCCCCATGGTATTTGGGTTCAAATAGGCAGTCAAAGTTTTAAGTAGGTATATACATATAATGGGAAAAAAATCTGATGATGTGAAGAACAGTAGGGCCATAGTGACTCAGCTGAGCCTCTGTGTTTATTCAGTTTATCAAATTATGACTGTACTGTTTTCTTTTATTGTGCAGCAAAAGAGATCCAATTATTCTGGTTAGACTTGGGACTTGTTGGTACATACAAATTCATGTACAATTCTTGATGATTTCTGATTTATGTTTCATATCTTGTTTCTTCAGTATCCTCACCTACCACAGGAGCAGCTGACACAACAAGTGCAAACAGTCATTCGACAAATGGTTTCACGTCAAATTGCAGCTCAACAAGACGCCCAGAAAAGACAAGTATGAATCTATTGGACTTGCATTAGAAATATTAGAAAAACAATGGTTGACAAGCCTTTGTGACATAGAACAGTTACAGGGGGAGGGGTGATGTACACACTATACATAATCATTGGTCCAGCTATCATGTACATCAAGTATTCTCAAACACTTCAAAACTATGTGACAGATGTCATATTCACGGCAATCGAGAAGTAATCAAAACATGAATGATTTGCACAAATTTATGACTTGCATTGAGGTTCAGTCGAGACGGTGAAAGAAAACATTTATCTCTTGAATGCAGTAATTAAAACATTACCAGTCAAGAAAAATGAATAATAAGGGTATTTTCCCTTCATGCAGTAATTATTACCTGACATACATACCTTCTGTCTCTGGTGAAATTTTTCTCCCCCATACATTGAAAACTTCTCCCACATACTTTTTAGCGACTCCCCTGCATTACCTTGTTGCATACAGTGATTATGAAACATGATTTTATTGTCTTCACTCTTACATACAGGTACATCTGCCACTTAAATGAAAGGGGACATTAAATCTCATTCGTCTTTCAGGGCGTCTGTCACAAAAGACTTTATCCTTGGTCATAACTTTTGAATGAGAAAAGATTAGGGCTTACATATTTCACATGTACATTACTTGTAACAAGTTCTTTCCAAATGCACTATGATTTTTGACCCCCTGACCTTTATATTCGACCTGCTTTTAAAAAAATTTAACATTGTTGATAACTTTTGAATGAGAAAGGTAGGGCATTCATATTTGACAGGTGCAATACCTTTGACAAGACCTTTCCAAATATACTATGATTTTTTACCCTGTGACCTTGATCTTGAAGTTTGACCTGCTATTCAAAAATTATTTTAACATTGGTAATAACTTTTGAATGAGAGATATTTGACATGTGCATTACCTGATAGAAGACCTTTCCAAGTGCATAAAGGATTTTGACCTTGTGACCTTAACCTTAGAATTTAATATAAGTTCTTTACAAAATTTTTAATATTGCTTATAACTTTTGAATGAAAAAAAGATGGGGCTTTAATATTTTACATATACATTACCTGTGACAACACCTTTCAGAAGCACCATCATTTTTGACTTCATGACATTGACCTAAAAGTTTTATCTACTTGTCTAAAATTTAAACTTTGGCCATAACTTTTGCTTCGGAAGAGAGAGACAGGGCTTTCATATTTTTTCCACATGTGCATTACTTGTGACAAGACCCAAATGACTACAGATTGTATTGTGATATTTGACCCCCTGAATGCAGCTTTTGATGCAGCTTTAAGAAACTTCAATCTTTGCCTAACTTTAATTACTAGTACAATTTGTATATCTTTTTTGTATGATGGACAGACAACACAGGACACAGACAAGACAGTTACAATATGCCAAATATAATTGCATCCCAACCACTAAGACATCAAAAGCCGGGGACCACAATTTTTTGTTTGCTTGTTAAATTTGAATAAGTGGCTTGTTTTATAAGATTGTTGATACATGTATGAGATTTGACATTTCCTTTAATGCAAATACTGTAATGAATAATGATTTTCTTCACTTTGACTTTCCCATTTTTTAAGACACTTGCTATAAGTTATCGAGAGTTGGTGAATGTTTAGCATTGTAAAGTATTGTACTAGTGTAATGACAAAAGGCTAGTATTATTCTTAGGGTTGCAAAATCATTGCACTGTGATCTGGTGGTGGGGTAATTTTATGTTGATTAAGAAATTTTAGAAGAACTGTAAAAAAAAAAATAGTTGTACAGATCTTAAAGAAAATTATATGCAAAATCTTAAATACACCTGATACCCAATGGCTTGTACTTTATACACATCATGCTGCTTTTATAGATGGAACAGAAAGAGCTTCAACATCAGAGGGAGTTGCAGAGAATTCAGGACCAGATTCGACATCAACAGATGCAGCTGATGCAAGCCACTATGGCAGGGGCCAGACAGGGAATGGGACCAGGAACATCGGGGCCTCAAGCGGGGACTTCTACAATGCAGTCCTTGTTAAATCAGCCCGCCAATGCTAGTCGACTCCAGCAGATGAGGGAGGCTAGGAAATAACAGCTTCCATTTTGTTCTGTTGTCTGATGGGATTTTTTTTCTTTTTTGTTTACATACTGGACATGGTACATGTATAATAAGACAATGAAGGCATTTGTGTGACTTTAGTTTGTCTAAATAAGCATTTTAAAAGATCATCTTTGGTAAAAATTTGTTTACATGAGGTGCAATCTCCAAGATAACTTTTAATGAGTGTTTAAATGTATTTTTTCATGCTGGCCAAGTTTCCAAGGGGAAATTTACACAAGTATGTAAATGTATAGCTACAGAACTGAATCACTATCCCTTGAGAAACATTCAGGTATGCTTATTTGGTAAATGCCAGATTGTTTTTTTTTTCTGTTGTATATGTTACTCATGATTATTAATTTGAATGTGAGCAAGATAGTTGTATTTATATTTGAAAAAGAGGTGTGTTTTGTTGTAAGTTTCATCACTGGCCCATTTATTTACAGTATATATTTGCTGAAACTTGCACATTCCTTATTTTGGAAAGCACTTTTATCCATTAAAGCTATAAATTTTAGCTGACCACAAAAGTTGGTTAATTTAAGAAGAATTTTTAAAAAGTTTTTATCATGTAATCAAATATATTAACTTTTTTGATCAAGCAATTCCAACTTGATCTTAAGACGATCTTAGCATCTTTATACATTTCATTTCATTCACTGGAAAAAAAATCATAACTGTTAGGGATTGAATCATAATAAAATTTTTGAAAATCTATTCAAATTTTAATTACAGTGCATATAGATATATATTTACAGAAAGTCAGACAGACTATTGATGAGATAATCATGGTTTTTGTCTGTGTTTTCAATGTCAACAAGTCAGATTTTACAGGATAATGACACTTATTCATGTGGTAGACAGCATTCTGTGTTTTCTTTTATAGCTCTATTGGTCAGAGACCATAAAAGCTTATGCATTAGTGAGGTGTCTAATGTCAGTCTGTCCATTCATAAACAATTTTTCAAAATGCTACTACATGTATTCTTTTAGCTTTGGTCTGATATCAATAGGACTTGGTACACAAATAGATAAAAGTAAGATGCATAAATTTATATATTGGATTTTGATTTTGATGAACCATGTTGCTATGTTTACTAAAAATAAAAATTTCTTTTAGATTCATTTAAAACACTACTCCTCCTATCATTTTGGTCCTATTTCAATAAGACTTGGTACACAAGTAGACGATACTAAAATTCATAATGCTGTTTATTAGTTTTCATTCCGATGAATGGTATTGCCATAGTTACGAAAAATGGAAATTTCTGTGAAATTCATTCAAAATACTACTCCCTCCTTCAGTTTTGGTCTAATTTCCATAAGACTTGGTACCCAAGTAAATTATACTAAAATACATGTACATAATTCTGTACATCAATTTTTGATCAGTGTTTAAATGTTTACTAAAATTAAAAATTTATATGAAATTCAATTGAAAGGCTACTCTTCCTTCAATTTGATTTCAGTAAGTCAAGTAGACCATACTAAGTTGGTGTTTTGATTTCAATTGTTGCCATGGTTACTAATATTATAAATTTCTATGAAAATCATTAAAAATGCTGTTTTCTCCTACAGCTTTCAAATTTCAATAAGATTTGGAACACAAGAAATTATACTAAGATAAACAATTTTGGTTTCATTGAAAAGCTTACTAAAACAGAAATTTTTATGAAATTCCTCTTACCTCCAACAGTTTTGGTCTGATTTCAATATATGACTTAGTAATACACAAGTAGACTATTCTAAGATACATATAGTTCTCTTTATTGACATTTGATCTAGATGAACACTGTTGGAATGTTTACTATAAGTAGGATAATACATGCATTTGAATTCATTTAAAACATTACTCTTCCTATGTTTTTTGATCAGAAATTCTTATCTGGAACCACTGAACCAATTTCAACCAATTTTGGTATGTAGCATGTATGAGTGAAGGGGAACAGAAAATGTGAATTCCATGGTCCCTGCATGCCCCCAGGGGCCTGAAGTGTGAGGCTAAAACCATAAAGAAAATACTGTGTTGTGTTAAGTTTACATTGTGATAGTGACAAATGGGGGCATGTACAGGCAATTAGATAGATATACTGAAGATTTGTTATGAAGTACTAGACCTATTATTTTGTTGATCCCTGATCATCGTATTTCTCTTGCTTTTGAGCAACATACCTTTATCTATCAGTTCATTTTGTTTTATTTTATACTTATTGGATCCTGTGCAGTGTTGCATTATACTCAGGTGACCATTAAGACCCTTGGGACTCTTGTTCTTTCTTAGTAGAAAATCAGACCAGTAGAACTGCAGTCTTGTCAGAGACTTCTGTTTTTCAGCTTGAAGTGCAATTGTGTGTAATAAAAGCTTTGGAATCATTTGCTAGTTGTTCATACAACAGAATTTCATAATAATAATTCAAATTGCAGTTATGTGTAAACATTTAACTATCATGAATAAATTTCAAGAGAAAATTGAACTTGTAGTTGTTGTGCTTGTTTGTGTACACTAGAATTGGTACAAGGATACTATACTTTTGTCCAGTTTAATTGGAAAAGAAAAATGTGAACAAAACTTACATTGACGAAACACTTCAGTTGTAAAGAGCCATAGCTGCCTTGATCAAGAATTTAAAAGGAAGTCACCCGTTTCTATTTATAGACATACTTTTTCTATTTGAGAAGAAACCTATTTAAAATCATTTGTAGATGTGTATTATATTTTCTTAGGTGCAGGTATAACATAAATATCACTTTACATAATCATTACTCTGATTTCAAGACAAAAGGTTTATAAAATCGGTAGAAATAAAACAAGGAGCTATGAATTTGCAAAATTTAATGAAATCAATATTCAATGAAATAGTTTAGAACGGTCTTTTCTTGAGATACTTTAAACATGTATCAGGTATATTACAACTTTTTGAATATAAGGGAACTATTAATATTTGAATATCATGATACAGGCCCGTAGGAAGCAATTTCAGTTGGGGGGGGGGGGGGGGGGCACAGCCATACATTTTCATTTGAGGGGGCACTATCAACCAAAAATTCCTTGATAAGCAAAAAAAAAAAAAATTATTGAGGGAGCACAAGCATATAGTAGCTCTGTTTTCTATAGTAATCTATATATCGACAAAATTATGGGGGACCCCCCCCCCGGTTCCTACGACCATGTTATAGTTTAATTTGAGTTTATACATGTATAAATTATGATTGCATAAAATAGAAATGGCTAATGTATTTAAGAAATCTACAGTAGACAAAATGCCTATCAAATGCACTATGGCTCTTTGATTGTAATGTGGATGCAGTGAAATGGAATCCATACATGATTGTGATCTCTGTTGAACTGTTTGCCAAATGCATCACAGTAATTTAAAACAATATTTATTATGTAATGAACATCAGGCCCGTAGGAAGCAATTTCAATTGGGGGGGGGGGGGGCACAGCTATACACTTTTAGTTGAAGGGGCACTATCAACTACCAAAAATTTCTTGACAAGCAAAAAAAAAAAAGGTCATCAGACGTTTTTATTGAGGGGGCACAAGCATATAGTATATATGTTTTCTATAGTCCTCTATATATCGGCAAAATTATTGGGGGGGGGGCACGGACCCCCCCCCCGTCCCCCCCCCCCGTTCCTTCGGCCATGTACATAATAGAACTGTGCAACAGGCACTGCCTTGAAGCCCACCATGGACAAGGTCAAAATCAACTGAGCAGCCTATATAATTGTTTCAAGATGGTGAATTTTCATTAAATACTAATTAAAAGAAAAAGTATCATTAAAACAGTTTGATAAAAGTTACTGATTTATGTTGATTAATGCATTCTCAATAGTATACATTTTTGGCCATTTCGCGGAGAATTAAATGCCATTTCTGAACTTATTCCACACTCCACAGCTTTCAATTGAATTTTTTGTATGATAATGATTAAATTAATGAGCATAATTACATACAGTTGAACTTCGGTATCTCGAACACTGATATCTCCATTGCCATGGATATGTCGAAGTGATTTTGAAGTCTTAACCACTTATTCTTTAAGTATTTTACCCTTGATATCTCGAATCCTCGGATATCTCATTTTTTTCTCGCTCCCATCAAGTTCAAGATAACGAGGTTTGACTGTATATAATTAATAGCCTTAAACTATTTTGCCATTAATTAACAATTATGTAATGCATTCACATTGAGATTCCATAGTTGAAGTGTCTTAGGTTTTAGACACTTTACATTTTAATGGCAGTATTGAGAAGGTAATAATAAATTGCCCCTTTTTAAATATTTCTCCTGATTTAATGATCTTTTACTAAAACAAAAATCCTTTAAATGAATGTCAGATTATTTTTTTATTAGATGGATATTAAATGGTAAAGATTTATATCCTATAATTGGAATACCATGAAAATGTCAATGAAAAAAAAATAATTCAAATTTCTCCCGCGGGGGACCTCATGCCACGGAAGCTCCAAAGGGATGTGAATTACGCATGCGCTCTACTTAACAAAATGGCTGACTGAAAAATGTCAACAAGGGAATGAAAGGAGCGACATGCTGTGTTTTCTGCTTCTTTCAGTAACATAATTAAAGAGAATGGATGCGACTGACAATATTATTGATCCTCATGCAGAAGTTAGAAAGCTTCAAGACTTAGTTAAGAAATTAGAGAAACAAAATGAGTTCTTAAGGGGTCGACAAAAGATACAGCTCGAGTCGTTACAGAATGGTGAAACAGAACCAGGAAAACTGACTACGAATCATAACAATAATTTACCAGATAGTAATGATAAGACATGGAGTAAAAATACAGGTGGCGGTTCTCTTGATGATATAGATGTATTGGACGTAGATGGCCTATCTATACGAGATGACGAGGACTCATGGTGTGTTGATATAATTTTTGAATTGATTTATATAAAATCTGAATTGACAAAACATTAAATAAATTTTATCACTTGCTAGGGGATGGAAAGGAGACTTCTTTCTATTATTTTCCCATCTTGCTGATGTGGTGGTTTGAGCTAATAGGTTTTGATCGATCAGTGCTTAGGGCACTGACTGGTAATGGGATCTTACATGTTGGTTTGATTCTCAGTCTAGCCAGAACTCTTCTCCTTTTCTTAGTTATATTTGGTGCCATTTACCACCCCTGAAGGTGTCAAAAAAATTAAGGAGGGAGGAATGTGGCAGTTTGGGCAATTATATAAGCCTGGATAGCTCAGTGGTTAGAGCAGAGGGTTGAATCTTGATCCAGCCAAATTTTTTCTTCAACACTTATCCTCATACTTGTAATATTTACTATTTTCTTCCTCTTAACTATCTTTTACCCTGCTCCACCTTCCCCAGATGTGTAAAGTAAATAAAATATCGAGATTATTGCTGTATGTAAATTTATCACTTGTTTACTCATTTAAACATTTAATATAGGTCCTAAGATATCATTTTCATATCAACAGTTGTGACATCACAGTGGTTTTAGCATGAAAGTAATGAAGTCAAAGTGAATATTATGTATAAAATAGTGTAAAACATGTGATAGCTATTTGTAAAACATGATTAAAAGAATCCCCCATGGTATGTGGATGAATACAATTTTATATCCAACTTGTTGCAAATTAAGGCTCAGGGATAGAAAACACACAGTTGGATACAAATCATATTCAACCATAAACCATGGGAGATCCTATATGCAGTTGGTAGTGTATTATGAATGTGATGGCACCAGTTATTTAGTTAAAGTTAGATGATGCAGCATCATTTGAGTTAGATTTATATTCAAAATTACATTGTTTTGTTTTTGTTTTTTTTTTTAATTTTTGCCCCCTCCCCCAATTTTTTTCTGAACTATACATCAGTTTTTTGAATCAATTCAGAGGGACTAATTAAAATTGAATCTTTCATTAATATTGGATTACATGTATATGAAAAGATGTTATTTCATATTACATTACCATACAATGTACCAACAATATTTTCATTCAATCACTACAGGTTATACACGTCTCCAAAACCCCCAACACCTCAGCAGAATAGAGTTAGTCCTTATAAATGGGTTAGACAAGATTTTGACCATCCTAGTCCAGAAGTTAAATCAGTAAAGAAATCCCTATTAAATAAACTTGATGAAGCAGCTAGAAGTAAGTGACATATTGAGTATTAACTGTATTTTACAACCATTTACTTTTCTTTATGATATACATATATGTTAAACATGATATATTTCTTAAAAGAACACATAAAATTTATATGAATTATATAATTACTGTATATAATTCATTCACTGCAAAAGTGAGCTTTAAGAAAATTGTAGAAGGTTAGAAGTCAATTATGTCATGTTTCAATCTAATTAGAATTAGATGTTAGATCCGCTCGCATACTCGCTACACTAACCTTAGTGTAGCGAGTATGCGAGCGGATCTAACATCTAATTTTAATTAGATTGGTCATGTTTGAGAGAGTTTTCAATTGATTTCAAGCTAATACATATTATTTTTGGTTCCTTGAATGTTCAGAACCAAAAAAGTCAGAAAAAATCACAGTGCGTTATTACTGTACTTGTTTGTTGCAATGTTATATAAATGATTAATTTCTTGCATGTTTGTGACATCAGTTATTTGTTTATTGCAGTGTCTAGGAGTAGTAGTACCCCAGCCTTTGGAATGTACTCCACTCCCACGTCGTCTAGACCCAGGATGAGTCAGTCTGCGGAGAGTACCCCAGTGTCTAGTCAGACAACAGCTGTCAGAAAGTCACTGTACTCTAATGCAGGTACAAAGCCTTGAACAGGCACCACTCTGACAGATTTTTGTGGCAGTTATCAAATTAAAATAACCTTGGTGCTGTTATGATGTGAAATGGGAGTAAGCTGTTCTTGTACAACTAAAATTAAGACTGCTAACCAGTTCAAATACTCATCCTTTTACACAACAGCTGCACAGAAGACTAAGTCAAAGAAATTGGAGATGAATTTTTCTTGTCATGCAATAAGAAAACTGTAGACCTCTAGGTATTTCAAAGATGCATATAAAGGCATTTGTTTGGCTTTGTAGGTGGTTCAACTGGGAAAATAAACACTGGAACCTTTACTCGACCAAAGACTAAAATCAAAACTGATGAAGGGGATAGGCCATCAGAAAATACAGAAAAACATCCCGATGTAACAGATATTGAAAATCTGGCAAAACAACAAGAAGAGAGTAAGAACCTTAAGGATAAATCACAGATGTAATGATTTCATTGAGATTTAAGGTCAATCTTATCAAATTAATAAGCATAAAAAATTACCAACAATATTTTACCTGTACTGTTGTAGGTTTACGGCAAAGTATGACACATTCTTCTCCAAGAAGAGGTAAAGTTTTTCCTTCACCATTTGTATTATTCAAAATATCTTTCTTTCTGTATTGCTGTGGATTTTCAGTATAATTGAGTGGGGAAACAAATTAGATGTACATGTATGTATAGTGTAGGTACTGAGTCTTTTTTAACTACATGTATATATGCAAAACGGGAGACAGGCAATTTCAATTTATCATAGAAATTCCTTTTTTTCTTGTGTAAACAATATGTATTTACCAGTAGCAAAATCAAGACAAGTTAATACTCAATTTTAGTTTTATCATTCAATTGCTCTTCATTTCAATTGCATTATAAAATGTATACAGTAGCACTCTCAATATCTTCTGTGTATTTTACACAAATTTCACTGCAGTGCACTGTGTAGGTAAATGATCATATTTATTCTTTGCACATTTGTAAATACCCTTGTTCTTGTCAGTTTTACTCTTGAGCTTCATTTTATCCTCATTCTCTGTCCTCCACAGTTATTCGCCCTAGACAAATTCCTCAACAAGGAGTGCAAGCTTTAAACAATATAAACAATAATATTGAAGTAGAAAACACCACCTCCCCGGTACACTCCAACAGGTCCAGTCCCTCCCGCGGTGAGGGTAAGCCACTGGCATGGTTATCAAGACTTTCTTATTGTTATTTAGCATGTTTATTTCCTTATAATGATGGTCATAATATTACATCTTCATTAAAATCCTTATTTTGTTTATTTTCAATTATTTCTGGTGTTAATTGGTACATGTTGTTGAAGGTGCTTGCTGGCAAAATATTTATTTTTTGGCTTTTACAAACTGCTAGTTGGTATATCATGTAGATGTATATATTTAACAAACTATAGTAATGTAATGCCAAAGGTACATTTAGTCAGTGTAAAAAATTTCTGTCACCCAGCTAGTTTTGAGATTGGACTCAGACTGGGACTTTTTCAGCAGGACTGTCAGCTTCATATGAAATTTTACATTAATTACAATGCATATAATTTGTGAAAGCCAGTGGCAAGTGCTTACAAATGCTTGTCAAATTTTGTTCATCTGTTGTGGTATATTCAGTATTGTAACATAGTTTATTTGGTGATGGTGGATTTATGGGATTTACTAAACAAAAATGGCTTTTTTAACAATCCTTTTATTCTTTACATGTTGCTTGTTTGAGGATGCACCAACAAATGCATTAGATTTTTTTTATTTCAGTTTTACTTCAGTAATCCATCCAGATTAAAACCATTAACCATTAAACCATCTGAAAAACCCTTATTATAAAATAAGCTATAAGTAACCAACCAGATATATTGGCATGCGTATTAGATTAAAAACTCTATAAACTGAAGGAAAAGAATTAAAATAAACTTTGTTGCATTTTATTGTGTTTGTCGAAATTCACAATTTTTGTTTTTGGTCATTTCATTTTTTTTTTGTTTGATTCAAAAATACACATATTTGCATGAGTAGTTAAATGTATGATGATTTAAAAGTTCATGTTAAATAGTATGTGTAATCTTTCATTTCTAATAATAAATAATTTTTAAAGAGCAGTACACATTTAGATCATTTATTACAGAAGATCAAAGCATGTTTATGTATACAACAAATTTAAAATGATTTTTGTTATCTCTGAAAAAAACTGTATTATGAATTTTTATTGTTTTTTGTATTATTCACATTTAACAACAAGACTTTAATTTTTATCAGGTGATAGAAGGAATAGTCAGAACAGTATTGGATCTGATGTCAGTAGTCCTCCAGATAGTCCTTACAGCAGTCAGTACCTCAACCAGCCACAGGGTATAGCTTAATAACAAAAACTTTCTTATTACATCCCAGTTTATGTACTTGTTCTTCATTTTCAAAATCTCTTTTAAGTTTTTATAGTCCCACTGAGCATATATTGAGATATTTTGTGAAAAACAAAACATCTGAAATGATATTTTACATGCTATTGCAGAGAATACAAACCTCCGTAGAAGCTTACCAAATGTTTCTCAGAGACTGACTCAACCGCAGGGTCACCATGCCAGCGATCCTTACCTAGATAACTACTCCTCAGGGGGCAGTGACGATTATGATGTAGGCCCTACACCAGCCCAACAGAGACAAATATCACGACTTCAGCCTCCCATGAGGCCAACTTCCCCCAATGTGTCTGGATTACGGCAGCCAAGCACCCCAATCCAGAGGGGGCTATCTCCCCAGAGGACTGGTCTTCCACAACCAATGCGGAGGTCCATTCCTCGGCCAGATACTGCCATCAAGTCAAGCATACCTTCACCAAGAAGGTTAGTCCTGTCTGCCATCATATTAAAAGAAACTAAAATCTTGTAGTCAAATCACTTTTTTAAAAGAAAGATGAAAATTTAAGATATGTATGTCATGCATTTTTCACAGAGTTTTACTAAATGTTCCATTTTTAAGAGTAAAATAAAAAGAATTTAATATTCTTATTTAAAGTCGGTATACAGTATGTTCAGTGAAAAAAAAAGACATGCTCTGAGAGTATTTGCTGACTTTTCAAATGTATGCTTTTCTGCACTGAATAGGTGAATACAATGTAACTATGTTAAATGAATTTTTTCACCAAGGATTCATTCGTTTCTTTGTAGGTCTGCCCTTCCCTCACCTCGTCGAACAAATCAGTATAGAGCTCCAGATAGTGATGACAGCTGGAAAGAGGGTTGTTTTTAATGGCAAAATATATGTATATGTTTTCCTATTTTCTTGTCCTATCTGTGATTTGGAGGCTTATATGAATATTGATGTTTGTGAAGAAAACATTTTAATGACTGGTCACAGCACTCGTGACATGCAGGAGAGTTTGAAAAGAAGAAATTGGATGCTCATTTGTCTCAAGATCAGTTTGGATGTGGATTTTTACTAAGTTGACCTCTGCCAGACAGAGTTGTTAGAGGGTTGAAATCCTTATATTGTACTTAATATAAATGTATTACGATCTAACATGTCAATTCCATTAATTGCTTTAATCAATTTATCTTGTGGTTGTTTGTTGCTGCTATTTTTGTCACTGGAAGGGAGAAATGTATAACTGTAAACATCAGTGAGATCTCATTTAAAAACATGTAACATGAGAACTATCATTGTCAATAACTAAGATGGTTTTGGTGCCTGTTGAATATTCTGTGATAATATGAACAGTGTTTTTAAAATGCTATAAACATTTTTTTTTCAACATGGCATCATACTGATTTACAGTATATTTGAGATCCACATTTTATTTTTTTTACCTTGTTTCCTTTGGTGCAGTGGTATGTATTAATTTTCAGCCCCTCTCTGGAAGGATATTTTCAGAACTTTGTGTGAATGTAAAATTTTTTTAAGATTTATATGTTCAAAAGCTTATCTTAATATAACTGTGAAGATTCCAAGACTTGTTTTAAAAAAATGCACTAGGAAAATTCCTAGAAATTTCAAGACCATTAATTGCTCTTTTCAAGTATTTTGATATACAGTTTTATGACAGAAACTTGGCTCTGACCCAAAGTCAGATACTTTTTTCTCTAGTTGTGGTACTTTGAAATATATAAACATGAACAAATTTCTATCTAGGACTTCATTGAAGAAGTGTTCATTTTATTATCAATGCCGTTTATAGATATTTGTGAATAAATTGCTCAGAATGAATGTATTAAAGCACATCACAAACATTAGAAATAAAGCTACATACCAGTATATTCATTCATAGCCTAGTCAATGTGGAGCATTTCTAAATTGTACATATTAACATAGACCTTGTAGAAACATTAAAGGGATATGTTCACTGTTATACCAATCACCATCACTCTGGGTCAATTTTACATACACATCCTTATTTAGGAGTTGCCATTATTTTAACACCTTAATTTTATTTATACCACTCTAGTTCACACACACAAATGTAATCTACAAAAATACATTTACATACATATCTGTTGAGGGGTTAATGTGATTAAAGGTAAATCTTTCAGAAAAGAAATATATCAATGAGGACAATGTTTCCTTTTTTGGATCAAGTAATTTCAGGTGTTCCAGAGGTTTTTTTTTTATTATTTGAATGAATTTTGCCTTTTATAATGCTGAATGCAATCTGGTGAAGTATGGGAGTCTGGACTGGTTGTTTGTACTTGCAATACAGAGTTTGCAAGTTTGTCATGTTATGATAGCTTTTTATATATAATTTATTTTGTGTCATTTAAAAAAAATGCAATAGCTTCATTCCAGCTGGAAAGTGAATAGAAATAAATTAAATGAAAACTAATTCATGTGTATTGTTTTGTTGAAAAAAAAGGTTTAAAGTTAATGAATTTCATCATGCATGACAACTGTGCTATCAAGATGTTTACAATTTGCAAGTATTGTACCAGATTACTTTGAGTCTACAGTTGTAATAAAAGACAAATGGTTTCCTCTAATATAGCCTGTTTATTGGAGAGTAGCCAAGGTGGAGAAAGGGGGGGGGGGTCAAATAGCTTCACTTGAACATTAGAAAATCAATCCTTATCTACTGTTGTGCCCCATCAATGGTATTGTCCGATAACTTTCTTCTTCTTTTTTTTTTTCGGAAGACCCCCCCCCCTCTCCGAAATAAGTTAATAAGTTTCTTTAAGTTTGGGCAAGTGAAAGTATTTTTTTTTTTAAATTTCTGAGTCCAAAATTTGTGAACCCCTCCTTAAAAATCCTGGATCCACGCAGGTGGTGCGGCACACATGACATGACAACCACCTTCCCCAACGCTTCCTAGGGCCTGCATTTGAATTGACCCAAGAGTAAAAAATTAAGGACTTCAATTTAACCAATCATGTTTCTTCTTTTCTTCCACTTTCTCCATGATCAGTATGTTTGTTATTCTTGCATTGATAAAATATGTAGTTTATCTCGTAGAGACGGGTCATTTCTAGTGAAACTTTTGTGCTTTGCGATAAGCCATCACTATCTGGTCACTTGGAGAGTTTGTGTTTTTAGTCTAAGTTTGCTCATATAAAGTCACCGTCATAACCCGGTCTCCAGGCACCTTGGAACGCATCTCTTAAAGATGTCACGGGTGGCACCGCACTTCCTCTGTTTCCTGTGGTTGGTGGCCGTATTTTGGCCATGGACTACCCAGGGAGCAGCCCAGGACACCAATCATGCTCTGGTAACGCTCATTGAGTCCCTCCAACTCCAGATCACAGAATTACAAAGAAAGGTTGACCAAGGGTTTTCTGGATCTTGCAAAGGTACATGATATTGATGCCGATTGTTGAATGATTTTCTAAAATTATTTAAGGATACAGTATCTAAAACCTGTGGGGGCAAAGCATGTAGCACGTAAGTACATATTGAAAAACAGCTTGGGATATTTTTTTTTCAACAGCAAAGCCCAGAGACTGTGCTGATGTATTGGCAAGCGGGAAAAACGTGTCCAAGGTATACAAGATTTACCCTGGGGAAGGCCCTGTCACGGAAGTCTACTGCGACATGGCCGACGACGGAGGTGGCTGGACGGTAAGAATGAACGGCAACACCAAATTAAAATCAAATTTAACCCTTATAAACTTTCAAAATTTATTAATTTTTTCTTAGTATTTTTATATATTTGTACATGTATTACATTTCATGAAAATTAAATATCAAAAGACATCAGATGTTGTGTCCGACGAGTTTTAATCAAATCTTATTCAAGCACGTGAAAATTGTTTTCAGTCCTATTCATACCCATGGTGCCCTCACGCATTTTTTTTTAAATTTTAGGCCATATCTTATTTTTCTATTCATATTTACGAACCATATCGGTTTAAGAAATCCACTTGGCTAGAAAAAAAACAACAACCCGGTAATGGGGATTACTGTAATATCACATATTTTCGTGGGATAAAATATTTGTGGTTTGAGAAATACAAATTGGTTTGTAGGGATTTAATTTTGTAGCTGAAGAAGTGAACGTGGTGAACGTGATACTGTAGTTAGAAATTTTAATAACATTTCGTGGAGGACTTGAATTCATGGGTCTCATTAAACCATAAACATAAAAATCATCTCCCATGAATGTCAGTGATTTCAAAGTAGTTAGACTGAGTCTGAAATCGCCATTTGCCTCGGAGTCGAAAGAATTTTTTTCCTCCTTTTGTGTATTTGCAACGATCAGATTAAGATTAAAAAAAAAAAATAAATGTGAAACAACGAAGTTTATAGAAAGATGGCACCTGATGCCACCTCTGATGTCTTAGAGGTCCGTGTTTGCTCTGCTAATATTTTGTAATGTTTAATGGACTTTTGAGCTCGAATACTGTTCGTTATCTCCACATAGTCCATGTATATACTGCGCAATAAATTGTTTTGCATTTTCCAGCAATTAAAAATTGAATGGTGTTTCAGGTGATTCTTTTCAGGAACCTAAAATATTTATGTAATTATGAATGCATCAAGTTTTGTTTCTAGGTTATCCAGCGGAGATTCAATGGTTCGGAAAACTTTTTCCGGAGTTTTGCCGACTACGCTGCAGGATTTGGTAACAAGACTGGAGAGTATTGGGAAGGTAATGTACCTATAGCTTACAATATGCGTATCTTGAAGCACAGGGTCTTAAAACAATTTGAGGAAAAACTGGTATATAGTAACCGTTACTAGTAGAATAGGAAATATTTCCCCCTATTACACTATATATTACTTTTTGCTCGAGACCCTGTGTTGTGGAGAAGGTAAAATTCTAAAAGTATTAATATCACATTCTTGTAGGAAATGAGAACATCCACGCCATTACCTCTCAGTGCAAATACGAGCTCAAGATCATTTTGACGGACTATCAGCAACATACTAAAGTGGCCAAGTATTCTTCGTTTTCTGTTGGAGACAAGTCAACAAAGTATGCTTTAACCATAGCTGGTTATTCCGGGGATGCAGGTTCGTTAAGTCACTTATCCTGGGACATAAACAAAATGGTTAATCCAGATATAAATTACTAATTAATTAAGTAAAAGCAAAATTAAGTAAACTAAAAAGCCTGCTCATCTGTTCACTTTGTAACATTCAATTTATATTTATCAACAAAATATAAACGTAACCAAAAGCTTGTTTCTTAAAGGAAGGTTTTTCACAATATAGCAGTTTGCTTTTGTAATCTATGATGAATCTTGTAGATATTTTAATATTTTCGAATAAATTAGCATCTTTTAAGAAAGGTTTCGGAAATTTTTGGGACAAAATTAAAAATGTACAACATCGGAATTGATATCTATTTACTTATTATTTTCATAAATCTATGATATTCAAATATTTTCAAGGTGACGGGTTGGTCTTTGATCACAATGGCCACGCCTTTTCTACAGCCGATGCTGACTCGGATGGTGCGCAGTCGCTCAACTGCGCACAGAAGCATAAAGGTGGTTGGTGGTACTCAAACTGCTTCAAGTCCAATTTAAACGGAGTATGGGGAAAAGCAGACGAAACGGGAATTGTGTGGGGACCATTCAAAGATTGGCGAATGTATGCCTTGAAAGAGACGACCATGATGGTTAGGCCTGTGGACTGTGATTAATAATCCCAGATAAATCGGTTTTCCAATCATTGACAACATATTTGAAGTAATTAAGAAAATGATTGACTCTTTTAATTTTTTCACTGAAAATATTTGTATATTGTACTCGTGAAATTCTACATTAATTAAATTATTCTTGCTCTGCATAATACAGTTTTGAGCGTTTTATAATTTGTAGCTATCCCTTGATTATTGATACAGCTATACTATAATATACCTCTAGACTAGACTAGACTAGACTAGACCAGACCAGACAATAAGTATGAAAAACGTCAGTCAGCATTTGACGTAATGATAAATTGTATTTGCTGACAAGGTCATTGTATCGACCATAGAACTTACGAAATGACGACTTTAAACGAGACTGCTGATATTCTTGTTTCATCAACTTGTTTGTCAATAACTTACCTCGTTTTAGAAATTGTTGATACTTAGAGCATGCTCTAGCGTATCGAATCAACTGAGAGATGTTAACCCCGTATGGAGGACACAGGTGATGAAGGAAAATATATATTGCTGCATAAGTAAGGGAAGTTGACGATTGATAAGTTAAAGTCATCACGTTTATCATAAAGCTTGGTTGTTAGATTACCATTAACTTCTTTTTCTAGTAAATTATCCAATGAAACAAATATGTCAGGCTCTGTGGTATCTTTTATTTCAAGCTCACCGGGATATATCGTATCGACATAAGAATGAATATAAACATTGTTAATTGACAATACGTCGTTGATATATCTAAATGTCGAGTTGAAGGCCACAGCAAGTGTTTTCTTCTTTTCACGTATAAGATTTTGAACAAATTCTGTTTCATATGAATACAAAAATAGGTCTGCTAATAAGGGGGCGCAATCGGTACCCATGGGAATTCCAATAGGTTGCTGGAAGACCTGGTCTCCAAAAACCACATAGATATTTTCAATCAGAAACTCGAGCATCTTTTTAATATCAACTTCAGAGTACTTGTGTGTACAATCAGAATGTTTTTTAACAGAATAATTTTCATAATAATGTTCATAAACTTCTTTTATCTGGAAATTATTAAAACTACGAATTTCGAGACGCATTTGATTGACACATCCTTGCACTTTCACGAAGTACACTTGCTTAATACTTAAGAACCCTCTACAATTCACCCTAATTTTAGGGAACTTTTGTGTAATTAGACTGACCCACCATTTGACATAAAATAGAATAAATTGTAATCTGCACTCTATGACATTTAAAATAAATCCAAGTATTCTGAACATTATATCAGACCAAGATAGAATAGTTGAAAACTTCATTTGCATGATTTTTCTCCATTTAAGTAAGCAAAGGCAATTTTTCTTTATCTTCACTTTATTGTCTTTGAACGTTTTCCCTGGATATAAAAGGCACGCTACCTACATCAAAAATGAATCAGTTGATTTTAACATACTTCTTTATGATATATTATATTCCCAAAGTCCAAAAACATTTTTCATTAGTGTACAGAGGGTCCTTAAGAAAAATAGAAATTTTGTTGTGTAAAAAGTTATTATGCCAAGGGTACTCGGCACAAGTTGGCCGATTCGTATCTCATTTGTTTGATGAAGGCGACGGAATCATCCGCGGTTTGCAGAATGAGCTGGGTTTTGATGAAGACGATGGGATCATCCGAGATTTGCCAATTGACTATGACGTCACAATACAGTTTTGTTCTACACAATACAGTTTTGTTCTACAACAAAGCACAGGACATGCAAAATGTAAGTAGATTCTGTGAAAATATCAAGCAAAATGTAATACATGTATTTTTGTTTTAATTTGTGGAAGGAAGCGTTTGTTCCATGAGTGGATGGTTCTTTTTTTTAACCTGCGTCAGTTCAAAATGATTAATTGGATTAATTTTGAAATATAGTCACTAGGACAAAGACTAGGACAAATTACAAAGGTCAAAATAAATATTTATTTCATTTTTAAAAGCGAAAGCCTTTTATCCAAAATATTTTGGGAAAGGAAGTTTTTTTAATATAAATTTAAAAAGTTTTTTTTGTTTGTTTATTGTGCTCTTAAATACTTTGATAAAAACTTTTGTTACTAGTTTCACCTTAAACATTGTTACGTCATGATGGAGGTCTTTAACGATGACCTATGACGTCACAATTCAGTTTTGTTTACACAAAAGCAATGAAAACGCAGCCGGTGAGTTTTTCTTATGTTTTTGAAATATTTTGTGAATACCTATTTGCACTATGAGTTATAATAAGCATTAAGTTTGCTTAATTGTTTGTAGTTCGTATTTTTTTTATTTTAAATCTTAAACTCAATAGTATAGGTTTGTTTGCTACTAATATTTACATGGGATCGATTTTGACCTTCGTAATTTGTCGCCATTATTGCCATTAGTATTCAAAATTTGATATTGTTTCTCAGTTCTCTTTTTTCCTTCATGGTCTTAAAGTTTTCCATGTAATATTTAAGATCGAAATGAACGCTTTATATTTCTACATTCAATATTCTTGTGGCTCTCCCTAAATTTTAAGGATAATTCAAGGTACACAAAATTTTGTTTCTTATTTTTCAGAAAGAAGTGGTAAATGAAATAATGAGAAGCGAACGAATCCAAAGAATTCTAACTGAGCTGGCCTGCAGCTCGTCTGCAGTATCAGTAGATATGCTTCCATTACCTTTTGTAAGGGTCTTATTTTCAGCATTTGCTGGAAATATTAAAAGGGGGGGGGGTTAAACATAAATTTGTTGTTTCTATTTATTTTTGATAGAGAACCTAAAAGGAAAGTTAGACTTTTAGGAAAAATTAAATTACCTATTTCATATATACTCAGTAATTAAGAGAATCATACTCATTATCTGCAATGGGTAACCTATATTTACTCAATCAGTTCGCTGCATTTATTTATTTATTTATTTTTTTTTTTTTTTGTTTGTTTTGAACATATTTTATTGACAATATGTCAAAGGGATTGGACACAAGTTCTAAAAACTTAGATAGTCCTCTCGGACCTCTCCCATATTTTTTTTTACTTATATCAGTAAAATTATCAACAGACCATTATATCTTAAGTAATCCTTTATAGAACGAAGAATTAATTCTGGACTTTGGGGATGAAGCAGTGGAAGACCTGGTGAGTATTAACGGTCACGTGATTTCACGAAACGTACAGGCTTTGTATCAAAGTATGAATCGCAAAAATTTTACATTTTGAGTCTCTGAATAATTTTGAACTAGTCTTTTGCGTTATGTAACATACATTTATTTTCACTAAAATTCCTCATTGATACGTATTTATTTGTTTTTGGATAGAGTGAGTTTTCATTAGACTGCATCCTTAAAAAATTGAAAAAGAGTGAAAAAAAATTATTGATTATTATATTACATGATTATAATGATTAATCAAAAGCCAGGGGTATTTATGCATGTGTTTTGGCGTAATTTTTCAGAAATCTAAAAAAGAGATACTTAAGTTTGACCGTAGCTGGGTTGAAATGGTCGAAGAAGAAGAAATGCGACAGGTAAAACTCTTTTTGAATTTGTATAATAAATTTAATTTAAATATATCAGAAAAATGTTTTTTTTTAACCTTTGGAAATTTTGAATTTATCAGAGCGTATTGATAAAAAGTTGGATTTAAAAAAAATCAAATGATATCCTTTTTTCATCAATTGGTATATTTGCTTTCCATTACATGTATGTCCTTCTTGAATGCGGTACATTAACTTTTCGGAAATTTTTATTTAGGAGAATGCACTGAAGGTTGAAGCCGAATTAAAACTGATGTCACCACAAATGGAGCTCAAGTACAATGTGCAGGAAGAACTAAAGGTACTATATATACAGACTAAACTGAAATTGCACTGCATTAATAAATTTCGCTTTTTTATGTATAAAATTGGTAAATGCTTTAATTTTATTGTTACGCAAACACTGAATATGTCTTCCAGAAAGTGGCATCCAGAGGAGTTATGAATAACAGATTTCTAGTCATGGAAAAAGTACGAATGATGTGGCAGCCCATTCACCAAGAATTGATGGTAAAATATCAAGTTCATGTTCACCCGTTTTAGTTACCTAATCATTAAAGAATTTTCGTAATATAATAAACTTTTTTTTTTGAAGTTGAATTTTTCTTAATTCAATCAATATTTGTATACAGACAGCATTGAAGAAAAGAAATTTAGAGAAGAAACAGATCGAAAGACGCAAGGAAATGATGACAGAGGTGTATGATGAACTTAAGGTAAATAGGAAACCGCTAGCATTTATACATTGCAATGTTAAGATGTGCAAAATTTTATTATTTATGTTTAAATAAAGGTCGGATAATTCAAGACATTTTTAATTTAAAAATGAGGGCAGCATACAATGAGCAAAATGGAAAACTGTCAATAAATTTTTAATATTTCCTAATTAAGATCATGGCAACCAGATTTGAAAGAAGAAAAGAAATAATGGAAAAAGCACAAGCAATGTGGATGACAATTCACAAAGACCTGATGGTAAGATTCCATGTGCATATCCTTTATTTATCTTCTTACATATTTTGTGGATTTAATGTTCTGTTAAGTATTTTTCTAACATTTCTTTTGATTTTCAAAGTTGAACGTGTCTTAATTTAATCAATATTTTTATGCAGGCAACTTTGACCAATAGAAATCTGGAGAAGATACAAATTCAAAGACAAAAGGAAATTAAGTTAGAAGTGTTAAAAGAGCTAAAGGTAAATTTGTCATATATGGTAGTTCAAACATGCATTATTTGAAACTATTATTGGCCAACAAAAATAGTGGAGTCTTTCAAGGATAAAATGAGTAAAAAAGTAAAATGGCACTTAAAAAAAAAAAATAAATTTTACTTCAGATAGTGGCATCCAGAGAATTTAAAAGAAGAAAAACAAAGTTTGAAAGAGAACAAGCAAGGTGGAAGGCAATTCACAAGGACCTGATAGTAAGTTTTCAAGTGCATATCCTTTATTTACCAGCTAGTACTTGATTATATAAGTTTGCAAATTTAATATTTTGTTCTCTTATTTTCACGGTTGATTTTTGTCT